ATCCATGAGGTTCGACGAACTGAGCGCAAAGGTATGTTTACGCAAGATGATATCATAGTATAGATGGTAAATGTGGCTGACACCTTTTTAGAACCGAGCTCTGGGGTGATGCGGGCGATGCTGGCCACCCTGACCTGAGAGAGGGCGGGGGGCAGGGAGATGACTTTCATGATTTTCACGGGCTACGATGATCTTTGCAGATATTTCTTTTCTTCTCGAATGTATTTTTCGATCATTTCATTTGGGTTTTCCTTGTATACAAACGCAAAGCCATATCTTTGTGGATGCCTGATGGAAGCCGTGGCGGTGCGCGCCGGTGGGGCGGTGCAAGCGGGATGGCACCCTCGTAGCTTAGCTGGCCATCCTATCATCACTGCTCACTTTCTTCCTTGTATTCTCCCAAGTCTCCATTCCTTCACATCTCACAATCATGGATCGAGTGCAGGCATTCGGTAAAACCTTCAGGTAAGCATAGCGCCCTTCTTCCCACTTCGAGTAGCCCTACCGCAAAAGGGCCCTCTCCCCTCCGCAGAAACCACTCCCCCCCCGTGGAGCCTGTTCTGGACTGTTGTCGACCTTTGACTGACATCCTCTTGCCCGTCGCTTGTACGAACAGCGCGAGCTTCACGCCATTTGCGCAGCGCACCCAGCAGATGATCAAGGAGCAGCTAGGTCAGGTTGAAGATAAGACCCAGCTCCCCGATGAATACATCGAGCTCGAGAAGCGCGTCGATGCGCTCAAGCTTGTTCACCAGAAGCTGCTCCAGGTGACGTGAGTTTTTCCGCAGCTGACAGTCTTATCCGTGTCAGCCCCCAGCTTTCGCACGCACCACTAACATCAGTGGCTCGCTCTTCGATCAGCTCGCAATACTCCAACGAGGCCTATGACTACCCACCCAACATTCGTGAATCCTTCAACGACCTGGGCCGCACTATCAACGAGAAGGTCAGCCTCCTCTCGCAGGCCAGCTCCCCCGCCGAAGCCCAGGCCGCCCTGGTTGCGCCGCCTGCTGCCAAGCCCCAGCCCAAGACATTCAACCATGCGATCGCGCGCGCTTCGCTCGCCGGTTCCCAGACCCTTGCGCAGAGCAGCCACATCGAGGACCCGCTCGCCATTGCGCTAGAGAAGTATGCTCTGGCCGAAGAGAAGGTTGGCGAGGCCCGTCTCGGCCAAGATGCGCAGATCCAGTCCCGTTTCCTGGCTGGTTGGAACACTACGCTGAATACCAACTTGATGTTTGCTGCCAAGGCGCGCAAGAACGTCGAGAACGCTCGTCTCACCCTGGATTCGATCAAGGCCAGCAAGAAGGCTGCTGCCCACGGTGACCTGGATAACCTGAGCGAGGACGCCCGCCAGGAGATTGAGCAGGCTGAGGATGAGTTTGTTGGTCAGACTGAGGAGGCTGTTAGTGTGATGAAGAACGTATGTCTTGCCAAAGTTTTCTCTCAATGTCGATTGTAAGGTGACCGCCGTTACTAACAACTTGTTCAACTAGGTTCTTGATACCCCCGAGCCCCTGCGCAACCTGGCCGATCTGATCGCCGCCCAGCTGGAGTTCCACAAGAAGGCCTACGAGATCCTGAGTGAGCTCGCTCCCACCGTGGACGCGCTCCAGGTCGAGCAGGAGGTAAGCCAGATGACCCAGTAGTTCATGAATCTATAAAGTGACTGACGCTGATTTCCCTCAGGCCAGCTACCGCAAGAGCCGTGAAGGCGCATAAGCATAGTGTCAGCCTTCTTTGTTCCTAGCCCGTCCTCTTTTGTTTACTTAGTTTTGGAGGTTGTCCCGGCCGTTTTGTATCTACAATCCTCTACCAACACCCCTTTTTTTTTTCTTCGCTTCTATGCCAAAGGATCGCCGTTGGCTTGCGATGTATCCCTTTTGCTATGAGGTTTGCAATGAATAGATTGGAAAGTCCCGCACTCTAAACCACCATAATTATTAAAATCTTCGAGTCCTAAGGACATCTGTATTCTCCCAACTCAACTCCGCAAGTAAATGACAGCCCGTGGTTGACACCGCCCTGGTGCCTGAGGCAGAACCCCGCTAGCTCCTGGAGCTCCGACATCCAACGCCGACGCAACTTGTCAAGTCACCGTTCCTGTCTACGTCTCGAGTTCTGAGCTCTGTGGAGGAAAATACCCCGGCTGAATCACCGAATTACATTTCCAGGCCTCCTGCCATTTCTATTTCAGCATCTACTCGCCCAAACGGCCACTCGATCAACGCCCGCCTGGCCGCTGTCCGTTACCCGCACCGATATCGTTACGAGTCTCCGGGCCAGCAACGAGCTCTTGAAAATTGAGAAAGGATAGATAGGTCCCCATACACCAAAATGGCGAGCGGGTACGTCTCACCTCCAGGGTTGAACGAATGATGTGTCAAACTATGAGACGCAGTCCACGTCTCGACTGGACTCCGTCGTTCCCCTCGCGACGTCTTGCGCCAGCTACAACATGTTCGATTGAATAGCTCGCTAACTCCATGCCCTCTTTAGTTGGAGTCTTTTTGTTGGGCTGATAGTCATCGTGGCTCTCTGTCTAGCTGCGTGGTTCTTTAGCCCCAAGGGCGAAAATCAGACGTATGTTTTCCAATCCCATTCACCTTTCCCGGTCGACAATGGTCCGCTGCTCGGCAATAGAAGCTAACATCCTCATTTATACATTACAGTGTCTGGCGCAGCACACTCATCCTCTCGATCGTCTCTTGTTACTTGATGTGGGGTATGTTCAGCCCTCCATCCCAATTCCGTACCCGATGTCCTGGGATTGCAACACAGCCAAAGTGTATGATACTAACCTGACATTCGCCCAAAACAGCAATCGTCTTCATGGCTCAGCTACACCCCCTCATCGCGCCCAAGAGAGCTGATATCCGGCCTGACCGGGTACCGGAGTAAATCCTCGCTGCGTCGAGGTTTTGCGTGGACTGTTATTTTCATCTTATCTCGGGCCGGGTCTTCTTTCTGTGACATACGATTTTTGATCGATGAGGGTGATTACTAGAGAGGTTGATTCTCTCGTTGTAGAAGGGAGATGGGTTATTCATATCTTTGGAATTGTATGCACTTGGGTTGCGGGTGTTTTTTGTATAGTCTTTTTTTTCCTGCGTTTGCCGTGCTAGATTTATCGATTCTTTCTAAGACTTTCGTGATTGTTGTGTAGAAGGGGTCGGTCTCGATCGACCCTGTCATAGAAGTGTATATTTCTAGCTCATTCAAATTGCACGGCAAGTTCATGGACGGTCCTATATAGCGGCTTCGCTGTCCAGGAGTAAACGTTAACATGGTATCCCTTCATTGATTATCTCATATGCGCATCTATACAAAATCACATCTATACAAGCTCTATTCTCAACAGTCCAATCTCGATTCATCCAACTCCAACAGCCCCCAATATCACCCTCTGAACCGCCCATCTGGCAACCTGCCCCGCAACCGCAACAACCACGGACCTCAAATACCCACACCCAAGCAAGATATAAAGCGCCTCGATATTACTCAACAGCACCAGATGCGCATCAACAACACCCAACGACAACAACGAGGCCAACAAATGAAACAACCCCGTCAGATACTGCGTCGGCAGATACGGGCGCAACGAGACCTCTGCCGCAGCGAGATACGATTCCAAGAAGGACGGCGAAGACGCAGCGTCGCGGGCTGATGACGACAGTGCAGCTTTCGAGGCGCCAAGATCTTTGCGGAACGTACTGCTTTCGGAGCCCGTGATGCTGGTTGTTCCACTGCCGCTGCCGCTCCCGTCGGCGCCCCAGATTACGAGGAGGATGGGGAAGAGCTTTGCGCAGCTGCTGACGAGTAATGCGGTGCTGATTGCCGTTGGGCTTGCGGCTGTTGGTGGGGGGAGGGGTTGGATGTTTTGAATAGGGGCCGTGGATGTACGTCGGAGTGGGGGAGGGGGACGTTGTGGGATTGTCGTTTGGGGTTGGGCCGTGGCTGAGGGATCTGGTGGAGAGGTCGGGTCGTTGGGGAAGATGGGGTTTGGTGTGAGTTTTGCTGCTGGTAGACCGAGTGAACTCAGTTGCTGTGCTGCGTTGTTTGCTTGTGAGGAGGGGGAGGGACGGATTGTTGGTGTGGGAGGGCCCGAAGGGAAGGGGGTTGTATCGCCCGGTGTAGCTGTTGTGTTGGCTTGGGAAGTGGTGGACGTTTCTGGCGCGCCGTAGCGGTGGGATTGCGGCACTAGCATTGAGGCTAGAAGGCGCACTGTGAGATGGTGCGCGAGCGTTGTGGCGGCATTAAGCGTTAGGAAGAAGAGGTATTGGACGATGATTGGGGCGCGCGCGATGAAGGTTGTTGCGAGGGAAGGGTCTTTCTCGAGGCGCGCCCAGGTTAAGTAGACGTCGAAGAGGAGAAGCAGGACTCCAAGGCGAATGATTGATCGCTAGGGTCGTAGCTTGTTAGTTCTATCGCGACTTCATGCTGTCGTGGTACTGGTGCTTAGCTCACATCAAATCGATTATCGTCGCGCCCAAGCCGATTGAACAGAAGATGTCGATACACCTTTGCTTCCTCGTTAGCGTCTAGCTTCGCTATCTCTCTTCCCGTTCGTCTTACCTGCGGCTTTATGAGCACGAGGTCGATAAAGATCACGACAAAGTCGTACTCGACATATTTGTCGGCGAATCGCTGGCAGCGCGGACACTGCGTCAGTCGGACGCCTTTGCCTTGGGAGCGGTCATCGGCACGACTGTAGGCGCTGTACAGGTGCGAGACCGGGTATGAGCATTCGATGCAGATAGGCATCGTGTCATGGCGCCATGGAGGAGAGCATGCAAAATAGAGGAAGAGGTGTTTGGTTGCGGGCGGTCAACCTTAAAGTCGCGACGATCGGCCAGGGGCCCAGAGCCAATGGAGGTGGGCCGGTGGGACACGATCTCAAACATTATGGAGAAGTGCTGAGGGACTAGTTCTTATGGGGAACAACTACCTGACTACACAGTAGCATCTTCGAAGAGCAGCACGTACTATTGGAGCAAGATTGGATATGTTGTTTGGTGCGTGGAGGATGATGGATTTTACTGTTCACTTTGGGTGTGCTGTCCACTAACAGAACTATATACACGGGGATATCCATTCTATATACAGTCTCGTCGCCTTGCTCAATCAATGACGCTTTTATTATCAGCCCAACTGGGCTGAATGTTCCGACAAACAGCCTCGTAATCCCGGAATCGCTGAGTATCCTCCACAAGTCCAGGCGTTGTCCAAAACATCGTCCAATTGCTATCAGACAATTTCCACGTCCCACTCGATCGTTCAAAGTACCACTTGTTCACGGGGTTATCCTTGCGACTGCGCCAGCAAACCCCATCAGGGAAACAAGTGCGCACCATCGCGTTGAAGACCACGTCTGCCACGCCGCCCGCACCCTGGCTACGCTTCAGCACGGCAAATTTGTCCAGGTACGGTACCATCCGGGCGGCGCTGGCTTCGCTGCCGTCGTCGACTACGCCTGGTGGTGCTTCCCAGGTTAGGATTGCACCACCTTCGTACTCGCCTGCGATGATCAGACCGGCAATGCGGTCATTCACCCGCTCGAGGTAGTTTGGCACGTCGAGCTTGCGGTCAAAGGAGTCTTCGATTAAATGCACCAGTCGGGGGAGATCGATGGAGGGGTCGTTGAGTTGCAGGCGGGACTGGCCAGAAGCTGTCCACATCTGTATGCTAGGGTCTGGGAGGATCGTGAGGGGCATGCCGCGCTTGACAAAGGTGGAGTGCGGGGGAAGAGCGCTGATTGCGCTTGCACATCCGTTAATCGATGCCCGACGGCCGGGAGGGAGAGAAGATGACAGGAGTGGTTTGTCAGTAAGAAGGTTGTGGATCAGGGGATTGCGCTGGCGGCGCGTCCCTACGGCAGACATGTCTGAGAGTGCATCTTGGGGTGCGCGGGCGGAGTTGGCGACTTCTTGTGGAGACGTGATGATGCCCGAGGAGGCAGATGGGAGCATGGTGAGGGCTTGTTGCGTGAGGCGGAGATTTTCCAGGTGGCCGTCAAGAACGTATCCCATTGCATTGGAGCCCGGGATCCTGATAGTCCTTCCAGGAAGAGGCGAGAATACCTCCTGTTCCACAAACTTGGAGAAGGGGTTGCTCTCCAAGATAGCAGAGGCCGGTCCTTCGTCTTTGCTGCGTTTGACTTTTGCTTCGCCAACGAGGTCACGCCGTGTATCGAGCAGCTCTTCCTCGATGTCGTCAAACTCTTGCTCCATGTTGATGAAGACATGGGATGACTGCGGGCCCCTGAATGCTGGAATTCCCCCGAGTGGATGGAGAAGAATGACCCGATCCAGAGAGACCTCCTTCTGTAGCTCACCGATCTTTTCCGCAGTCAGAGCCGGGTCCTCATCTGGGTCAGGGATAGTAGACAATCCAGCAAATTCTTTGGTGAGCGCTATGACGGCATCGTTCGCCGATACCGACACAGCCCTGGGATTTTCATCCACATAGGCAATTGGCGTGACAATCACGACATGTCCGTTCCGGAGTGGACGTAGTAGCCTTTGCCGAGACGTGACCGTAGGATGGGCTGGATCAACTTCAGAAATAGATAGAGCCGAGTCGATACGGAATGATTTTGAGTCCGGTTGCGCATCTACTGCATTTGCGATCCGAGTGGCCTGCTCAATGGCAACTTGTCGGATTGTGGCGGGGTCTTCCAAATTGCCCGGGTCGACTACCACACAGCACGCCATTCCCAGGCGTACGAGCTGAGAAAACGTCTTTGCCACACCGCTGAGAGTCTCATCATCGAGGGATTGCGGCGCAGTGACTTTGATCAAGGCCAAGTGTATTCTTTCCCAGGATTCTGGTACTTGAGGAACCGCCGTGGTGTTCTGCCGGAACACCGGAGTGTCGTACACTGCTCTGGAGGCGCCGTAAAACGAGCCGAGGTTCACACCGGATGGTAATGATTCTTCTTGTACAGACTCCTTTGGAGGTTCGGGAGTGGGCTTAGGGTTTCCATTTGCAGGATTGGTTTTGAAGCGAGATAGGTATGATTTTGCTTCTCGTTTAGTCGACGCGGAGCTTAACAGACTTAGAAAGAATTCCTGGAATAATCAAAGTTCATCTGATTAGCATACAAATCAATCACATGTCATTGACGCTGCACACCTTATCCAGCATTTTCTCCTTCGCACGACGCCCCAGACGGTCATAGTTCCGGCTAGTATTCGAGAACTCGGCAATGTGTTGGGCCCGCGCATCGCTATGCAGCAATTGCGCCGGGCGCATCACGGTAGGATCATTTGTACGAGCGACATGTTGCTGTAGAACACTCGTCGGTCAGCTTTCATGCAGCTCCATGGTGTGCATCTCTCTCTTCTTCTCGTCGGGGATTGCATACTAGCGAGGACTGAGCGGCCCGAGGCCAGTGCAGTGCTCGGGAGCCCATTGTCAGCCAGCAAGGGCTCTCACGGTCGGGGAAGAGCAGCCGAGCCTCGAGGGGGGATGAAGAGCCAGCTCACCAGAGAGAAGAAAGGAAGAGGGATTTAAGTTGAGTCGGGCCCACGAAAATAACGGCGCATGACGCATCCGCGGTCAATGATTCACCGCCTGAACCTTCGGGTGGAGGGATTAACGATCTCCGCTCGTGTCTCGCCGACGTGAATAGTTTCCGGTCATCCCGGGGTAAGCTGATCTGATTAATCTAAGATAATGGGATCGGATTGGCTATTAAATCTGCTCTGTTGCTTTTTCGAGAAGTCGGTTTTTTCCCTACTACTGTGCTGAAGCTCTACAAAAGCGTTCTACCTAACCGAGGAATTGAGCTTGGGCGGGGCAGCCCTATATTTCTCTGCTGAGTCTCTTATTCGGCGCTAGTTTCCACTTCCGACCGTCTGGCCCGGGCACGATGGGCGTAAGACCTAGTCTGTGATGTGGTTATCAATCTCTACCAAGCGAACTAGCGTCGGCTACTTCGATTTCGTATATGATATTCGCCAGCAACTACAGTAATTGCAACGGTATCGTAGAGTTCCTTCCCAACGGGGCAATTCTTCTGGTCGCGTGATTAGTATGCGGCAACTTCGACCTTACCATGATAGTATGGGTTATCCATACATATACTTGATCATCTTTGCAAGGCCAGGAAGATTGGAGTACAGACGTGGGACGTGCTGTTCCCTACAATGACCCCTAGGCTTTTTGATTTCTTTCTCCCCGTGTTGCCTACAGTGCTACGTATACTGCTCACTAATCTTATCAATCATCAGACAGTACCCCCACTAGCTTCGACTTTTTGCTCTAGAGTGGCTGGCGCTGCATGGCAGAGGATACCCCAATGGCCTGGTGCTGCACTTCGTATGGACACCATATCTCCTTGGCGGAAACGTATATCCACTCACTCGAGAGGATCCAAAGGTCCAAGTCGCTCTACATTCCTGAAACAATCATACCAAAGGTAGTACGGAGTAAGGTCAACAAGTATAGGGTCCCGACTCCGGTGTATATTGTAGGTAACAGTGACTGGCATCTGCAGTCGAATCACTATGACTTCGCTAAACCCGCCTATTCACTACTAGACAGTGTGGGTCCCACAGCAAAACAAGGTAAAGAGATTGGCAGAAGCAAGGACGCACCGATACATTAGGTAGGACTTGCGCAGCAGGAAGGTTGGCCATAGCACTTAGGGTGAGTGCCGAACCTGGATAGACCATTGAGAGAGTATCGATGAGCAGAAGAGAGAGAGCACTTCAGATATGTTGGCAATGTTCTAGCACGTCTTACAGAAGCACTTCAAACGTGAGCCTGCAGGTACAGATGGCCAAGAAGTATGCTGACCGTGGCAGTCTTTGGTAGGACAAACAGAAACCTGGAGGGCTGCTGCATCAGGTCATTAGTCGCATCCTGCAACAAGGGGAGATTCTAGAAGGCCGAGAGATCGGCACCGACTCGCTGGATCGGATCGAGAGAAATTCCCCGCTTATCCGCTCTGAGGCAGGCGGTGACATGGATCAGTTTTCTCAGTTACTTTGGGGGTACTTGGGCAGTACTTGCGAGTTGGCCGGTCTCTAGTGGGAGAACGATAGGAAGAACTCGGGCGGCTGCGGTACTTCCAGAGTCGCCCCCCATTTTCACCTCCCCGCCACTCGCTCGACCCTATTTTCGCTCGTCCTCTTTTTCCTTCCCTCACAACTATATCAATAATCACGGCTCATTCAGAAGTCGACCCTCTCTGGTAAGTTTGGGATTGATTCCGCTCGCCTCATCTCCGCTCCTTGCTTTCATTCCCCAGCCTCGTCCGGGCGCCGGTCAACCGGCCGCTACCCCTCCTTGCGTACCCGCACATTGCCCGTGTCGCAAATTCTTATCGCCCTGCCAGAACTCTCCCTAGTCCAATCGCAAAGACAAAGGAAACGGCAGACGAGAAGAACTGTTCTACGTGAAGGCTTTCTCATCCGAACCTTTTACCTTGTACTACTAGCATTTCATCCAAAAGTTCACTTGCATATCAACTAATCCCCACTGGTCTAGATTCATCCCCCCCCCCTCCAGTCTCCATCGACGCCACCCAGCCGGGTCCCCTTGCCAAACAAAATTCAAGGCGACTGTGCAGGTGCCTTTGATCAAGCTCGTGAGCGGATTCATTCAACTTACGACTACTACGATCATCGTTGTGATCAAAATTCCAACTCACCCGTCTTCACGATGTCGGATCTCAACGAGCAACCGTCGGAGTCGATGACCGGCTCGGATACCTCTGGCCTGAAGCCGTTGTCTAATGCCAACGATGACCTCCAGTCCATTTCCAACCCCAACAACAGCGACTTGGCCCGGGTTATGAACCGCGCCGGTATCGCGATGACAAACGGTGGATTTCCGCTCGACGATCTCGAAGACGAGGAAGAGGTGGACGAAGATTATGTCGCAGTCGACCAGGAAGATGTAAACGACTACCCCTACTGGTTCCGCCGGCCCCCAACCCACCACCGCACCAAGCTTGATGAGTTGCATCCGTTCGTTCAATTGCTCTCCGTATCCAACGTGGAGGACTGTGTGCAAGTGGAGAATGCGTTCCCCGAGCCGGAGCGCTGTTCGCGTGACAAGTTCACCTACCGCCTGACTCGCTGCCCGGAGCTGAGCTTGGGTATCTTCACACTACCCGTTCTCGATGAAAGCAAGCCCAAGCCTCGCGCGACTCTTATTGGACACATCATCGCCACCCGGACCTCGGAGCCTTTGGTGACGGACCGGGCTATGCGTCTGCCTCAAGACTGGCAGGCTCAGCGGTGGACGCTGGAGGATAACCAGGCCGTTGGTCACGAAGAGGGTGGTGGTACAATCGCCATCCACTCGCTGGCCGTGCTCCCCGAGCACCAAGGCAAACAAGTCGGAAGCACTCTGCTGAAGTCATATATCCACCGTATTCGGGAGGCGCAGATCGCGGATCGGATCGCGATCATCGCGCATGACCATTTGATTCCTTTCTATGAGTCGTTCGGCTTTGAGTCCCGCGGCCCTAGCAAGTGCCAGTTCGGCGGAGGTGGTTGGGTGGATTTGGTAAGTTATAATTCCCTTGCACAGTTCTGATATGCATCCAGAATCGGCTAACACGGCTTTCTTGCAGGTCCTGGAGTTTGGTAATGAGGAGATGAGCCAGTGACCCAGGCGACCTCTACTTTTGCATCTTTTTTGGCGTGGACCATGTGTGGCCCTTTTGCCGGTCTGCTTTTTTCTTCACTATTTGTTCTGTTCTTATATCTACGTTTTCTTCCCTTTTGATCTTCCCTCTCTCATGTCCTCGTTACGCACGCTATGTCCGGTCATCGGTTTTGGTCTTCGGGTTTGAAAGAAACTGGAGTTTGTTTTGTCTTCTGGGGTCGGGGGATGGCCAGTCTGACGGAGTATTCTCACGGAAAAGAGGCCTGGGCTTTCTTAAAACTTGGGCCCAAGGCGCTTATGTACCATAGTGGAAAAGCGATGTACATGAGCAGGCCTAGTCTCTCTTTCTACTATATTATATAATTGCAGAAAAAAAAAGATTAGACTGACGAAGTAACTTGGAAGAAACGTAATACTCAGAACTAGTGTTTATCAACCATCGTATCGCATTACAATCGGATCTCCTTGCTCGTGTCGACTTATCAGGAACGAGGAAAAAGTGGCTCGGTTACCGCATCCAATCCTGGTCCCCGCATTTGCTGGCCGCCCGGCAGAAAAATGTCCGACAAACAATTTTTTCGTGGAGAAACTCAACTGGACCCCCCAACAACCTCCCACTTTAAAGAGTCAATACACTTCTCAGTTTGACTCCTGTGGCCCATCATGAAGACGACGTGGAAGGATGTACGTATCTCGAGTCCTGTGATTCGGGTCTCCCACTCGAGAATTTCCCAGCTGATGAAGTTTTCACCGCTAGATTGCGCCTGTGCCTACCAGCCAGGAATTCCTGGACATTGTCCTGAGTCGCACTCAGAGACAACTGCCTACACAGATCCGTGCTGGTTTCAAGATCAGCCGTATCAGAGGTATGATCCCTACCTACTTGTTCTCAGTCGATTCGATGGGGTTTTGTGAAGATTGGGCGAAGGCCAAAAAATAAAATAAAAAGATGGTCGGGGTTATCGATAAAGAAAATATCGCTGATCAAGTTTTTTTTTCGACGGCAGGTTTCTACACCCGTAAGGTCAAGTACACCCAGGAGACCTTCTGTGAGAAGTTCCAGGCCATCCTCGATGGATTCCCCCGTCTGCAGGATATTCATCCGTTCCGTAAGTTTTTCCTCCAACTCGATTGCCTCGCGACGTGGGGCCTAACATCCGACCAGACAAGGATTTGATGAACACGCTTTACGATGCCGACCACTTCCGCATTGCTCTTGGTCAGGTCTCGACCGCTAAGCACCTGATCGAATCCGTTTCCCGCGACTACGTCCGTCTGATCAAGTATGCGCAATCTCTTTTCCAGTGCAAGCAGCTGAAGCGTGCTGCGCTCGGTCGCATGGCCACTATCTGCCGCCGTCTGAAGGATCCCCTGGTCTACCTGGAGCAGGTCCGCCAGCACTTGGGTCGTCTGCCCTCGATTGACCCCAACACCCGTACTCTCCTGATCTGCGGTTACCCCAATGTCGGCAAGTCCAGCTTCTTGCGCAGCATCACCCGCGCCGATGTCGATGTTCAGCCTTACGCCTTCACCACCAAGTCGCTGTTCGTCGGCCATTTCGACTACAAGTACCTGCGTTTCCAGGCTATCGATACCCCCGGTATTCTCGACCACCCTCTGGAGGAGATGAACACCATTGAGATGCAGTCGATCACTGCTGTTGCTCACTTGCGCTCTGCTATTCTGTACTTCATGGATCTGTCCGAGCAGTGCGGTTACTCTGTTACCGATCAGATCAAGCTGTTCCACAGCATCAAGCCCCTCTTTGCCAACAAGATTGTGTATATCGTTGTCAACAAGATTGATGTTCGCCGTCCCGAGGATCTGGACCCCGAGCAGCAGGCGGAACTGCAGGATATCCTCAAGTCCGGTGACGTCGAGATGCTCCAGGTCTCTTGCACCACCACTGAGGGTGTCACTGCCGTCAAGAACGCTGCTTGTGACAAGCTCCTCGCTGAGCGTGTGTCCCAGAAGCTGAAGTCTGGCTCCAACTCTGCCGGTACCCCCGGTGGCCGCCTGGGCGATGTCCTTGCACGTATCCACGTCGCTCAGCCCATGGGTGGTGTCCAGCGCGAGACTTTCATCCCGGAGGCTGTCAAGAACCTCCAGAAGTACGACAAGACCGACCCCAACCGCCGGAAGCTCGAGCGCGACTTGGAGGAAGAGAACGGTGGTGCTGGTGTTTACAGCTTCGACATGCAGCGCGACTACACCCTGGCCGACTCCGACTGGAACCACGACAAGATTCCCGAAGTGTGGAACGGCAAGAACATCTACGATTTCGTGGACCCGGATATCGAGTCCAAGCTCGCTGCTCTGGAGGAAGAGGAGGAGAAGCTGGAGGCAGAGGGTTACTACGATTCGGAAGAGAGCGTCGAGGATGCCGAGGATGCCGATACCCGCATGAAGGCAGACCTGATCCGCGAGAAGCGCACGCTCATGCGCAACGAGGCCAAGATGCGCAAGTCGCTCAAGAACCGCGCTCAGATCCCCCGTTCCGCCAAGGCCAAGAAGCTCTCCGAGATGGAGCATGGTCTCGACGCCGCTGGTTACGATGTCGATGCTGCTGGCAACCGTGCCCGCTCTCAGAGCCAAGCCCGTGGTCGCACTCGTACCCGCAGCGAGTTTGGTGATGACGATGCCATGGACTTGGATGATCCTCACAAGGCCCTTGCCCGTGCCAAGAGCCGTGCCCGCAGTCAGGCCGCGACTGACCGTCGTAACGATGGTGTCGTTGATGAGACGGCTCGCTCCAAGGCTGAACGCCTGCACAAGTTGGGCCAGAAGAAGAACAACCGTATGGCCCGACAGGGTGAAGCCGATCGTCACACTACCGTTTCCCTGGCCAAGCACTTGGTACGTCCCCTCAACAGTATTATTAACTTGATCATATCAAGTACTTGTTCGGAAATGTATGCTAACCCATCTAACACAGGTTGCCGGAAAGCGTGGTATTGGCAAGAACCAGCGCCGTTAAGGCATCCCCGCGTAATCATTGTCAAATTGGTTCCAGGTTCCATTTCTCCATACCGGGTGCACAATGGTGTTGGGCGTTATTTTGCTCTTCTTCTCTTTTTCTGTTTCTTTCCTTTGTCTCGTTCATTTGACACGAGGGGGTTTTCCCTCATTCCATACACTACTCGGTATCCACATGCTCCGTTGAATCGGGGCGTGGATCGGACGAAGGGTTTAACAGCTTATACGATTTGTGGGGGGATTAGATTTTTTTGATTTAACTTTTCTCCCAGTCATTAGGACCAAAAGTTTTGGACTTGACATGATGAATGTTGCATATACCAATACAGATGAGATTTTTGGTTATGATGGAACTACTTTCTTAGTCCTTGTCTTTGTAGGTTACAGTGAGGACGATGAGGGTGAGTATTGTTCTTCTATACATGAGACTCTGCGAGCTCATATTGCTTTGAGACTTGGTTTTTTCTCGTATTCTGATTGGTATTCTCTGAGTGCTTTCGTTCCAAAGTAAACATTGTTCAATCTACCCAATAGCGGAACAAAGGGAAGAAGGCCTTTGAATTATCACTACAATAAGAAATCATACAATGGCACCAAAGTCTAGTGCTCGAATCCCGTCAAGACCGACCTCGACGACCAGAAATCTATAAAACACGGGCAAGTTCCTACAATCCCATCATTAAACTCTCAGTATTGAACTTTCCCTCCCAGCTTAAAAGCTATATTCCCCCACCTTCTTCTCAAGCTTAACCCAACATCCAAAGACCACAGATCTATAGAACCTATCCACCCCCAATTACCTCCCCCCCCCGGTCCCTCGATCGGACCCATTATGAACTCTGGCTCGCACAATGCACAACAAGTACTCCAATCCAACCAATCCACTAGATAATTCTAATGGTCCACCCCAGCGACGACCGGTGCATCTGGTATCTGGTACCACTCCGTGAACGAAGTCGGCCACGAGGAAGCCTACGAAATACTACTCGAACCGAACAAGCGCTTCGACAGCCGGAGCTTTGAACAACAAGTTGTTCCTGGGTATGTTCCCTACCGAGCAGGGAGACGTGGTAAGTTGGGAGGCGTGTAAGATTCCGCCGCAGAATCGTCAATTTTGGGCTGCTCATGTTGTTATGAGACTTGGGAGGGTGGGGTTGGTTTCTCCGGGTCTGTATGGGTAATTGATTGGGGAGGCTAGCGAGCGATTGGGGGATGGGGGGCCGGGGTAGTCGCGGCGATGTTAATGAAGGATTTGTGCGTACCCCTGCTCTTTTTGGCTTTTTTGTGCATTTTTTCGTGGGGCCAGTTTTTGGCTAGCTAACGTGTAAAGAATCCGATTATGATCATTTAGATTTAGGGAGGTGCAAATTTGATGCTGGAGATGGAGCTCGTTCGATTTGTAGACTTGGATAACCTTTGATGGCGAGAAGCCATTTCGAGTCTATAACGCCTATGATTGTCCGACGACCCAAGTAGATTACCCTGCGCTCTGGTGATAGACATTCTCAGGGGTTGATGAACGCTGCAGTCGAACGAACTTCGGAATACAATCTCTCTCGCTCGAAAGAGACCTAATTGCATTCACGAGAAACGATGACCATCAAGCTGGGAGAAATGTCTTACAACCGTCTCGACCAGCATGACCCAAAAAGCCGGAGCACAAGAGCGAAACATGGAACCGCAAGGACAAATCGGCCTCCTCGGGGTATCTATGACCGCTCGAATAGTTTCTCCTACTGGCTGCTCAGAGTATTAATCCTGATCCGGTGGAGCCATCACACCCCGGATTCACCCTGCTGGCCATCCAATCAAATCACTCAACACATATTAAAGTTGGCTCGCACTTCTCCTCCTCGCCCTCCGGCTGCACTCGGCTGCACTCGATTGGCTCAACTGGCACCAGGCTGGACAGTTACGAAAACCTTCGCTTGGGCTAGGATCCTTCGAACCGAAATCGCAGTCCAGGTTCCCAAGCCCATCCGAAACTACCCCGAATTCCGGTTCATCTCGTCCTTATTCCCTTTCGTCTGCTCTTTTCTCTCCCATCCTAACCTCGCCGTTGCACGATGCGCCGCCCTGCGCGACAGAGATGGGCGCCCCCGCATATTTCGAGCTAAGTTGGTCGATTCTGAGCACCATCGGCTTGTTCCTGACCGTCATCGGAGTGTGGGCCATCCTCATTACTCGCGTGTCACCCCTACACCTCGTGCCAATTGTCGTATCCATCGCATGCGCCGTCGCAAATGGGCTCTGCTACTACGCTTTTTACGCCGAGCATCCGACAAGGCAGCAAGTCGTTGCCAGCGTCTTTGCCGATATATTCTGGCTGGTCAGTCCGGACAATATCGACCGACGACTGCACATTGCCGTACTGACTGAAAGCCCCCCAAAAATAGATCCAGGAAGCCGGCCTGTCTTTCTATAGTTACCAGATCCTCGTCCACACCCTCAAAGACCGGGCTCTCATCATCTTCCGCACCATCTTCTGGACGTTAATGACCTGTATTGTCGCCATCCGCATAGCCATCGCCGCTACCCGCGCCATTGAAATTGCCACAGGCGGTCCTCTCCAACAGCGCGTCGACTACCTCCACGTCGGCTACTTTACCGCCATCGCCCTCATCGAAACCAGCAGCTCCGCATTCCTTATCTGCCTCCTCCGCGACGCCTACGGAGTGTCACCCTGGAGATCGCCAAACCACGATCTCTTCCGTCATCTACTCCAATCAACCGAGATCCGACTCGCCAGTCTGTGCTGTATTGGTATCCTGCGCGCGGTTACATTCTCGCTGCGTACCACTGCCCAAAGCGCGACGACTGTCGCGGCCGAGTTTGACCGTTTTGCGTATACGCTCGAGTGTCTTTTTCCGATCATTTTCATTATTGATATTCTGGCCTCGAAGAGGTTCCGCTTTGACGGCCATACTCTTGTCTATTGCAGTGATCCCCCGGAGGGGCATCCGAGCTGGGTTGGCCATCAAACAAGGCGGCATTCGCGGTGGGCCGCTATGTCGCCGGGGCATTCGTAGTTGAGGGATGCGTGGTTTTGACCAACGAGTTGTATGAGATTGATGGGTTCAAATGCAAAAATAAAAACAATTGTATACTTTACTTTGATTCCTTTAGGCTTTGAGAGGGAAATTGTTGATTCCGTCTCTGGCGTAGTTGTCCAGCCTCAACCCTAACGTCCAACCTGATATGCAGTATGGAGTATGGTCATTCTGATGAGAAAGTCGAGGTTCCTCATCTGGAATCGAGAGACAGCATTGGAAAGAGACAGTCAAGTTCTTGTCAGTCTGAGGTCTCGTCCATTCTAATATCATGTAGACATTGAAAGTCAGTGATCATCAAGTCTATGTTCCGGCAATGTCGGAGCGTGGGTCAAAATAAATTTGGAATACAGAGTACAGTTCAATTACAGTGAAAGTGATTGCATCAAAAGAGTCGATCTACTTCCTATAGTTTGATAGGTCCCTGCCTGCCCATCTCAATGTGGCCCATCTCAATGAAGAATTCCTCCTCTTGGGATGAACTGACTGTCCACGTCTTTCGGCATACCCATTGAAACACAACCGTTGGAGACATTGGGCTTGATCTCCAGCGCGTCAGCATTCGTCCGACATACATCACAACTATCCCAGCGATACCCACTCCCCGATCATCCAAATATACTGCCAACGTTGTGAGCATGTTGGCCGCCTCTTCTAAGAAACCCTCGGCTGTCCGAGCTAGAGCGTCAATCGCCTCTTTGTCTTCCCGTAACTGAGCCCTCGGGCGCCTGTACTCTGCTCGAACCTCCGGGTCTGAACTGGACAGTAAATCATCGTGATTTTCCAGAACCTGGTTCAAGTGCTCTAGGTGCTTCCCCAAAATTTCTTGAAATTTCTTCAACTCTCGTGCCTTATCTTTCTTGGTGGACGAGCTATTTGGCATGTTCTCAAGCTCTTTGACGCTCACCTCGTGAAGAAATCTGCAACGTTCCATTAGGCTGTCGCGGGTTTGTCTTAACTTCTCGATCTCACTGCCGGAAAAAACATTGGGGTTGCTAACCGCACCTTCCATATACCGATCCACAATGTCTCCAGAAACGTTCAGAGGAAAACGAGTGACAAAGTCTGGTTTGAGGGACAGCAACAGCTCCCTGGCACAGGTCGCTGCTGACAAAGCGGCATACAAGTGCCACTGATTGTTCTTGTGCGCATCTGCATAGTCTGCAATCCCTCGAATGGGCAGACAAGGTACACAGTCCATGACCGAGGTGGCTTCCATCTCGTAGCACAGGATGTTCATTTCTCTGGCCTCATCATCGCGTTTTTGAGCGTTCTTCATGACGGTGTTCTCTGAACCAATACAGCCTTGGAAAACCTGAACGATATCTCTCTGACGATCATCGCGGTGTATCAGCTGTCCCCGTTTAAGCGACTGGGGCTGTTTACAGTCGCACTGGTCGCCCTGGTGCCCAATTTGACCCATATAAAGATGGTCTTGCAGAGGACGAGCAAACGCAACTCCACCTCGTCCGGCTCTTGAACGAATATGTTCAATTGATTCGGACAGAAGCAGTTCTTCCGGCGCCCAGAACCGCTGCATCAAAAACATGATTGCCCCAAGGAGCTCCCTTGGAGGAGTTCTGATCATGCCAGTGTGCTGCTTGCCCAAACTGGGTATCTTTGCCGGTTGAGAAAGGAAACACCTGCGTGCCGATAACGACATCCCCAAGGCGAATATCTTCCGCATATGGGACGCCACCCCCGATCCCGACGAGAAGCACAAATCGTAATCTCGGAAAAGTGCTTCTCATGTCGAGGGCTATTCTGGACGCGTGAACCTGCCCCTGCCATCCTGCCGGCGGCATATTGATCATCACGTTATGAGGTCCAACCCGCCCAAGAACATAGTCGTTTCTGTCCCCGTGGCCACGAACAAAACTTGTGTTATCGTACTTTTCGTCTAGGATCGCCAAGGCCCCTCGATATTCAGCTTGAAGCACGCATAGCCAGCCGACCATGAAGTCCTCAGCCCGAGGAGTCTTGGAGGGTGGCGCGGGGGTCGATTCGGTAGCCATTGAGAAGGAGGGTTTCAAAGAAGTAGATAAGAGTCAGTTTGGCTGCGGTAGCTTGACTTGCGTGATGACCGCAAGCTTGATGAGCAAGCAGTCTATGTGCTCGTAGAGTCGAGCCCTCGAGTGTAAACATATTTCAAGAGAGGGCTCGAGGCGCTTTGTAGATTTCAATCATTGAGTGTCGCGACTCAGTCAATGGCTAGAGCCACGCGCAAATAGTCTGGAGACCAATCATAAATCCGCACTTATTCGAGGTCTTTCGGTGTTTGCCGGGCGCAATTTTGACTTGGCGCATGGTCGGGGCAAAGCACCATCACATCCAATTGGCTTTGTCGGCCGCACTTCCAATGTCTGGGGTAAAGAGTATGCAGATCTGCATCAGCTGGATGCTCACGACTACGTAGCGTCTGCGAGGGGAATGTGGCTGAAACCAAAAATTTGGGGATCTTCTCCGTAGATGCAGACATCCAGGAGGCAGTTTCGGTAGTTGCCTAGATGAAGAGATGGACAAGGATTGATGTATGTATATGTAGTGTGTCTCGTTGATCCAAATTTAGAAACAACAAAATTGTGACGCATCGAGAAACCTTAGTTTCAAGTACCGTATGTGCTGGGAACATCCAAGATCTTGACAATCATAACAGATTATTGAAAGATGTTGCTAGAAACTACACGGATGCTATGATTTACGACAATCGTGCACCTGCAAGTTCGATTCACGGTCAATTAAAAGCCAGTGGCATTTGTCCTCTCCCGGACTTGTCTCGACCACCACGACGAATGTGACCGTAGTAAATAGAATAGAGCCAAACACTAACAAAGGGAATAGCTAAATAAAGGAAGGGTTCTCGGTAGGATCGGAAGGGCGCGAGGATACGAGGGCCCGAGGGCTTGAGGTAGCGGCGTTAAGAGGTTAAGGAGACTTAACAACTACGGGGGCGGCGATTTCCCCTTCCTTCATCAAGCTATGTCCTTTATTAGTATTTATGTAGCTTGTTTATCTTTCTTTATTCACTACGTTTACACTTACTTGCTACGTTTACACTTACTTGCTACGTTTACACTTACTTGCTACGTTTACACTTACTTGCTACGTTTACACTTACTTGCTACGTTTACACTACTTCCCTAATTATACGCGTAGGTAGTGGCCTTAGCGGCCTAACCTCTACGGCCCGCGCCGTGGCTATGGCTTCCGCTATAGCTCGCGCTATAGCTAGGCTAACTGGCCAGTCACAGAGCCTGGCCTCAGCCCGGCCGCAACGCAGATATCTAGGCCTCCCATAGGCCCGAACTTAACAAACTTACCACCTCTCACCGATGGCTTAGTCAGTAGGACCTGCCACCATATTCTCTCGGTCTACTGCTGGAAAAGCAAGATAGCAAACCCCCGCATAACACCTGTATGTAAAGGAAGCTAAATCGGGCCAATGAATTTCGATTGATTGATTGATTAATCGTCTCTTTACATCGCTGTACTAGCTATTCTTGCCAAGGCCAATTCCCAACATCAACACTAATTATCGGCGAGGACGTTATGGTCAACCAAAGACAAGGTCCGCGGTCACAATGATGCCATCCATATACGACGCCGTGCCAAAGAAAGACCAGATATTTTGTATCGAGTTACTCGAGATTGCCCCAACGCCCATTCTCGCGTAAGGCCCTTCCTCTACTTGAAGTGCCGCTTGATGATTACGTTTTGACATCCTGATAAAGCGACCGTGTCTTCTTCGTCTACCTGCGCGGTTATCTGCCTAAATCTAAGAAGAAGGAGCTGGCACTTCTTGACGAGAGCCTCGTCAATGCGACCCTGTCTGTGAGCTGCTCTGTCATCTACGCGGATGGTAGTCACGACGACGAAAAATCCAGTTACAGTGCCGTTGAAGACTACGGCCTTTAATGATCTAGCTCACCTCACTATTCGCGATGCTCGTGGAGTTCAGGTCGACTACATGCCTAGTAGCGACCGCAGTGACATTTTACTAGATTTTCAGATTCCGACAATATGGTTGAAGAGCGGTATGTGGACTTTCAAGGTCGACGGGAGAGTCGGAGATGTAGACAATACGTGCCTATTTTCTATGGCGTTGACACAATGGTTAGAGGGGAGGCTTCAACAGGATGTTTGAAATAATCTATAAGCTTACAGTAATAGTATGACTTTCTCACAAATTCTGTATCCTCCTGTCAAGATTGGGTGGGTGGGGAGGTCTCCTTCCTAGTTGAGATTAGGATCTAGAAGGCTTGCTCGAAGGCAGACGTAAGGGTCTGCTGCGTAGTTAGTGAATGATCAGTGTGTAGCTAGCGGATACCTGTGCGTATACCGGGCCCTATAAGATAATGCTAGAATTAATTGGTGGCAGCCTGCCTCTATTGATGCAACTCGCTGAATTATCAAAGTTCAGCACTGTTGTGGGCAGTTCAACAAGGGAAGAGGCGACAGCTCGGAAGGAGCTAATGTTGATGCAATCGATAGCGCGGACAGGAAACCGCTATCTCTCCAAGTAATGAAACTTTTATTGGAGACTTGAAGGGTAAATGTCAACTCAGGCGCACCGTATGGCCTCACGCCGTTGTCTACAGCCGCGTCCAAAGACCACGAGGCGGTAGTGAACCAATTCGAGGAAGCTCTTGAGAGGTATGTTCGACTTTTGATCATAAGAACATCGATTGTGAATACCTGGAATTGCTCTTACCCCTTCATCTGGACTCCGACCTTATATTGCATCCAGGGTCTTCAGATCTTCAGATGCTCACGTGGAGAGGTTCCAAAAGAATTGGTTTGATTGTAAACAAAACTTATGTATGAGAATTCGTCCTTCAATACGCGATATAAATCTCATTTCTGGCGCATGTCGAGCAGGAAACACCACCCTGGGTGTGTTTACCGCTTGCATCAACATCCGTCTCACAGCTTTTAGAAAATTCGGTTCGAGTTACCTATACAACTCCTTATTCTTTTAGGTCAAATACTATCAGGAAGACGTGAGACCACATAAATGCTTTTAGCCATCATGTGACATGCTCTGGGTGGTGAATTGGTGAAAGCATGACCAGAGTGTATACGGTATGCAAGTTGAGTGGTTGTTGTTGTTAGTGCAGTGGCTCAAAGACAGTTTTGATCTGTTGTTTTGGAGTCTACGACTTCAATCAAAGACGATTTGATTCTATTGGTTACAATGGTAGCAGGGTTTCTATTTTAAACCCCAGTTTTTATTCGCTTTATTTGACGATTCGCTTCAAAGGAAATACAATGTGTTTCATGATGGGAAAAAAAGGTACTATAATGATATCCAGCTCAGATATATGTTGCTCTTAAAAGCGATTTTTAACATTACTCAGTAGGAACAATCTATCTTTGGCACATAATATATATCACTATTTATCTGCCTTTGCATCGAATACCGCCAGAATACTCGTGCCTTTCGATGACCTAGGTGCTATTACTTGGTCTCAGAGGCGACCCTCTTAGCGAAATGAAGGAAAGGAATAACCACTAAAATTTGCACCATGACCCGCGACGCCCAAAGCGAAACACGGCCGAGAAAACCGAGAGGTCTAGAGCCTTTGACTCTCCCTGTCCATTCGAACACCTGGTCACCGCAGTCCTGAAAAATCTTACCATTCCAGCACCAAGATAAGAGCTTTATCCATCATGATTGGATGCAGAGAGATGCCGTGCAGGGAGCACCTGAGAATCCCATGGTTTAGGAAGGAGCGTTAGAGGTAGGGCCCACCATGTGCCCCTTTTTGGATTTTCCTTGGTCAATTCCGTTTTTTTTTGGGTGGTGGTCTGATGGAGTCGTGGTCGGATGGCATCAGAGATTTCCCTGCCGGGTTCACCGCAGATCACGGAAGGGGCTTGGGAGGGGTGGGGCGTGTGAAAATTGAGACTCTGGTTCCGCCGAGGATTTTGCGCGGCTGGTCTCCACTTGCCTGGGAGATCCCGTGTTCGGCATGCCGAGTGTGAAGGTTGGACACGGTCGGGTTCTGGCATTTGAGCTTGGAATGGAGGGCAGAGAATTGGATTTTAGCCAGTATAAGAGGCTATATCTATGGAATAGAAAATGGTATACGACTTTTGGGGGCCATATCGCACAGGAACTATCTTCTATCGGCCACCGGCATCGTGCGTGAGATCCCGAGTCGGCTCGGTCTCGGCATGGCAGCACACAGGACTCGGTGTGCCGATTTGGGCCAAGAGTGGACCCCGTTCAAGGCTCTACTGATCGCAAATATCTACACGGGAGACGCCCGAGGGCAATGTGGCTCACCGATAGTGGGTCCGGCCACTTTTGAGCTGAGCAACATGTCCGACCGGAGCATGCATTCAGTTCACCTTCTTATCAGTACAGTTTGGACGCACACGCCATCTGGAAAAGACCCAAAGCTGGTATATAAACGGGGCCCATTCCCAGATGATTCCGGATATGTTGTCACCGTGTTCGATATTGCCTTGGAGATCTGCTAGAAGAGAGTGCTACTTTGCAGAACCTCATTGAGCCAAGCTTTTGTTGCTCGGCGATCGTCATCGACGCTGAGACCGGCTCGGGCGCCAGCCTTTTCCAGCGGAATCCACGCTGCCCCACCCGGCGTACAGTAGACTTTTTTTTTCTCTGCAATATCCGTTATGAACCAAAACCACTACGTTTCAGGAGTAGTAGGCTTGAATGGCAAAGACGGAAGAATCCGCTCAGTCTTGAAATAAAACTCTTTCCTACATTGCTCAACGTCTTCTGCAAGGAGCAACAGCGGCTGAGGAACCTCGCGAGTTAAAGGCAACTACCATGTACAGTGTACGAGGTACAAGACTATAAAAACCTAACTAGGAAGCTCCCAGTTCGCACTATAGAAACTATGGGCTTCTCGTATTCACCCATGACGCGCCGTCGCTCGGTTGAGTTACCCGTCGTAACCATGCTTTCGAAACTAAACAGGGCCAGAGGTCATTTCTGTTTCCGTCATCGACCGTAGCCGATCCCAACGTATCCACGGAGTCCGTCCGTCCTCATCCAGACACGCCCTTCTCATTCGCCGGGCCAGACCCAGTTCTTACTGCATCGCGCAGTTTTCTAGAAGGTGGCGAGGAAACTCGGCTATACTGCCAGAATGCTGGACACATTACACATTCCCACGATCGTGGTCTATCCTTGGCTGGCCTCTGGCATGTTGCCCCTGAGACATTTTATGTCTTGAACATGTAGACAGCATCCGAGTTCAAATGCCGTTCTCCAAGACGTAGGGCCAATTCTGTTATGCTTCAACTTGTCATGTCAATTTGCTCGCACCGCCTGGCGATTAAACTATGATTCCATGAACTGTCCTCCGGTGTACTCCTTATACTTTGAACTACCTACAAATAGACTGCTGTAGTCTACAATCTCATCAAACCTAGAGTATTCATAGAAAGACCCATTCTGACCCTCTTCTCGTCTCACGTGGACACTCCCATTTCGGCTTCGCGCCCTGGAGAGCTTCGAATCTCTCTTCTCCACCCTTTTTCTCCACCCCAAGAAAACCCTCCAAACGGTACGGAGAATGCCCTGCATTGCCCATGGAGTCCGTTCGCTCATGGAGATAAATGGAGTCAAGCGTGAAATTTCCTCCGCCCCAACCCGATAACGTGGGACTCGAGATCCGGGCCCCCATTATGCCTGCCATGGTACCCCGAGGGGCAGTCCGATTCTCCGTGGTGATGGTCGTATTTATTTGACATCACCCTTCCCTCCTCCTGACCTCTCTTTTTTTTCTTTTTCTTCTTCTTCATTCCTCTTTGATTTCTTATCCCCCGTTTGCCCGGTATCTTCCACCGCCTGGTCCGGACTATTCACAATGGGTGTTGGAAACCTCATGTCCCGGTTTAAGCCCGGTGCGGAGTCTCAATTCTCCTCGCAGGCCCCTACTCCTGCTCGGGCTGACTCGACCGTGGAGAAGGATGAGGGCATCATCGATGACAGCCCCGTCAAGTACCTGACCTGGCGTTCCTTCATCCTGGGTCTGTGTGTCTCCATGGGTGGCTTCATCTTCGGTTACTCCACTGGTTAGTCTTGTGCTACATATCCCAGCCTTGTCCACGGCATTGGATATTCAGTCCAATTGGTGCATGGTCAACTGACTCGGTCGTAGGTCAAATCTCGGGTTTCACTACCATGACCGACTTCAAGCAACGCTTCGCTGAGTACAACGCTGCCACCGGTGAATATGCCTTCAGCAACGTTCGCAACGGTCTCATTGTCGGCCTGGTATGTTTCACCAATCTATAGTTCTCCCAATGGAATAAACATGGCTAACTCAACATCTTCTATAGCTCTCTATCGGAACCATGATTGGCGCCCTGGTGGCTGCCCCTATGGCTGACCGCATCGGCCGCAAGCTGTCTATCTCCTTCTGGGCCTTGATCAACATGGTTGGTATCATCGTGCAGATCGCTACCACCGACAAGTGGTACCAGATCGCTCTCGGCCGCTGGGTCATGGGTCTCGGTGTCGGTGCTCTGTCCAGCGTGGTCCCCATGTACCAGTCCGAGTCTGCTCCTCGCCAGGTCCGTGGTGCCATGGTCAGTGCATTCCAGCTGTTCGTCGCCTTCGGTATCTTTATCTCCTACATCATCAACTTCGGTACTGAGCGTATCAACTCCACTGCCTCCTGGCGTATCACCATGGGCATTGGCTTTGCCTGGCCCCTCATCCTCGGTATCGGCACCCTGTTCCTGCCCGAGTCGCCTCGTTACGCCTACCGTCACGGCCGTGTGGAGGAAGCTCGTGAGGTCATGGCTAAGCTCTACGGTGTCCCCCTCAATCACCGTGTCGTTGCCCAGGAGATGTCTGATATGAAGAACAAGCTCGACGAGGAGCTCGCCGTCGGCAAGGCTCCCTGGCACGAGGTCCTTACTGGCCCCCGCATGTTCTACCGTACCATGCTCGGCATTGCTCTGCAGTCCCTGCAGCAGCTGACCGGTGCCAACTTCATCTTCTACTACGGTACCTCCATCTTCCAGGGTGTCGGTCTTTCCAACTCCTACGTCACCCAGATCATTCTCGGCGCTGTCAACTTCGGTATGACTCTGCCCGGTCTGTACATTGTCGAGCACTACGGACGCCGCAAGTGTCTCATGGCCGGTGCCGCCTGGTGCTTCATTTGCTTCATGATTTGGGCCTCCGTCGGCCACGAGGTCCTCCACAGCAACCCCTCTTCCCACCCCGCCGGTGTCGCCATGATCGTCTTCACCTGCTTCTTCATCGTCGGCTTTGCCACTACCTGGGGCCCCATCGTCTGGGCTATCTGCGGTGAGATGTACCCCTTCCGCTACCGTGCTACCTGCATGGGTATCGCCACCGCCGCCAACTGGACCTGGAACTTCCTCATCTCCTTCTTCACCCCCTTCATTTCCAGCTCCATCGACTTCAGCTACGGCTACGTCTTTGCCGCCTGCTGCTTCGCCGCTATCTGGGTTGTCTTCTTCTTCGTCAACGAGACTCAGGGTCGTACCCTCGAGGAGGTCGACACCATGTACGTCCTGCACGTCAAGCCCTGGAAGTCCGCCAGCTGGGTTGCCCCCGAGGGTATCGTTGCCGAAATGCACGCCCCTGCTGTGCCCGAGCCCAAGGAGGGTGCCGAGGCTCACCAGCACCACGACGAGCCCACTGAGATCCCCGAGCAGCAGTAGATCTGCCGTGAGTGGGATTCGTGTGGGCCCTGTCTGGTTTTCACTGCCAGCTTTGTCAATAAAAGTTAGGCCAACTGGCTATGGCCTGTTATGTATTTTATAGTCTATGATTATTATCTGTGAATAGTTCACTCACCTCTTTGCTACGACGTCCTAATCGGAGTCGAGCCTCAATAAATATGGCTTTTGAACCATAATTGCATCAACATTATTCCCTCGGACACTGTGAATATATCCGAGTTCTAGTTTCATTTTGCCCGTCTGCCTCGTATGCTATGCAATGTTGACTGCGCTTTCAACTAGTAGGTACGCATCCATAAAGTCACACGGCTTAGTTCGAAGCACATACCCGAGGTATTGGCGGGGCTCATCCGATTTGCGAGCCGATGAAATGCACGCTCGTCTCTAGGAGAAATACTGATGTTCATGATTGCCCGCCAGTGAAATGTAGAATTTGTTTCTAGGAGTATGAATTGATACTTTTTCCGTATACGAAACAAACCCAATACCATCAAGGCATATATGCTCCCATCTTTCTACCCAGTATGTACAAAACACCGCTTCGCTAGCATCACTGATTCTCAAACTTCAAGCCAGCATCCTTTCGTGCCGCACCATACACAGCGGCAATATCACCCTTCTCCCCCTTCTCGGCCTTGACCTCCTGCAAAAAGTGATCGGTAACCTCTACATTGCGCATCCGCTGACCACCCTCCTTGGCAATGTTAGACGCATGTCTCAAATCCTTCCGCGCAAGATCAACCGCAAACAACGGCTCCTCCCGCTGATAGTAATCTCCACTAATCATTCGATCCGCATACTTGGCAAACGGCCCCGGGTTGAACAGCTCCAGCCACTGCCGGAACGGAGCGGTTCCCAGGCCCGTTGCGTCCGCGGCGGTGAGAGCCTCGGCCAGCACGCCGACGGTGTTGAGGATGAACGTGTTGCCGAGGACTTTGAGGGTGGACGCGCGGCCGACGTCGATGTCCGCGCCCGTACCGGCGGAGAGATCAATCGTGGCCTTGGCCACGACGCCTTCGAAGAAGGGCTTCGCCTTGGCGATGGCGGATTGTTTGCCGGCGGGCACGACGATCATTTGACCTGCGTCGGCCATGTTGGGGGCACCGAAGACGGGGCATGCGACGAAGGAGGCGCCGCGGGCTTCGTAGGCGGCTTCCGTACGGCGCGAGGTGTCCGGGTGAACGGTGGAGCAGTCGACGAAGGTCTTTGTGGAGAGGTCGAGGTCCTTGTCGGAGAGGATGGTCTCGGTGATGGAGTCGATGGCTGGGTCATCGCCGACGCAGGTGAAAATGAGATCGGAGGCTTTGACGGCTTCGATGAGGGAGGTTGCGACGGTGACGTTGCCGCCCAGTTTCTCGGCGTGTGCGGTGGCGCGTGAGGTGGTGCGGTTGAAGAGAATGAGGCTGGATTGGGGTCCCTTTTGAGCGATATTGCTGCTCATGCCCTGTGGTTTTGTTCTGTTAGCTTGTTGTAGCAATTGGTGATGGAGTGTCTAACTCACCCGGCCGATGTTGCCGAGGCCGATCCATGCTACACGAATACCAGCCATGATGCCAATTTCTTTGAAAAATGTTTCAAGAGTTGTTGAGGAGTTAGAAAAGAGAAAGTTGGCGCGTAATGGCTCTTGAAGGTGAGCTTCGTGGGGCAGTTGTGGTACAACGTGGGGTAAAGGCGAGGATCCGTTTCCGTGGGGCTCAGTTCTTATCCGCTTCCGGTCCGATGGGCTTGGAATTTGTTGTACAGCTTCAATTGCGGGGCGTCGCCCTATTTATGCTTATCGTGTACGAAAATTGAAGCTATTGGCACGACTCGTCACTCGTTACTCCGGCTTCACCCGCTGCTTTCGGAGTATTCGGGGCGAAAGTGCTTTATGTCTAAGCAGTGAGTCACTAAGCCCGAAGGGCCGAGATTACAAGGCCGCACGCTCCGATGGGGACAGGTGGACCTGAATCGTAAAGGCAAAAAAGTTTATGAGCTGAAACAATACCTGGGTCATTGTTCATTGCAACGATGCGACAAGAATGCAATTTTCTATCTTGCTAGTCGATAATATACATCAAGACCTGAAGTCTACAGCTTGGCCTTCTCCATAATAGTCACATCCTGGAAGGGTATTCCCAAGTACTGCCACATAAATGCGAAGCTGTATCACCACTTAGTACTAATCACCGAGTGGATAAAATTCTAAGTTAAACTCACCGATCACTTCCAAAGAAAGGCTCTTCTTTGCCCTCCTTGTTACGCACCCAGAACCACGGCGCCCCGTATGCGCCCTGATCAAGCGCCTTTTGCGTATTGGCAGTCAGCGCGTCCTTGTACTCGGGGGTCTTGGCGGATTCTAAGATCTCTTTTATTTCCTGGTCGGAATAGTTGTGTGACTTGAGAAGTTCTGCTAGCTTCTCGGGCTTGCTGATGTCGATGTTTTTGTGGTACATCCATTCCCACAGCGAAAGGAATGTGGTTTCATAGCGCTCTTGGGAGTAGTGGCGCTTGATGTAGATCATGCAGCGTTGTGGCTGGGAAATGGTCAGTATAGAATAGATAAGAAGAAAGCAGTGGATCGAGAAATGAGATGATCGCATTTCTTTAAGATTCTTACCATGATTGACAAGATTGGGAAAAAGTCGGGCGTCTTAATTTGGGGAACGCCAAAGTACTTGCACGCCCGTTCGGAGTCGAACTTGGAATAGGATGCCTTTGCCGGCAGTGTCCATGGGGGCTTGTTTCCTAAACGGCACGTATAAGCGGTTGCTCAAATTAAGATTATCGTTGCGTTGCTCAAAAAGAATGACTTACCAGAGCCAACATTGATACCGCCCAAGAAGACGGGGTGGAATCTATCTCCAAGTCAGCGCTCGTACCAGGATGAGCTCAGGTCCACAAGCACACTGACTCAATCTCAACGCCATGCGACAGAAGCGCCTTCCGATTTTGTCTCAAATAAAGCGTCGCATAGTACGAGTAAGGCGACACTGGCATTTAATTAGCGAATGAACGACCCGTTAGATCCGGGGTGCGCCTCATTCCCACTTCTGTGGGGACGGCTGGGGGGAGAGGGAAGGACCAAGGGGTATCATACCGCAATCAACGTAGGCGGCTATCTTGGCAGCCATGGGGATGATGTGTGGTTAGAATATCAGCAAAGATGTCGTGATGAGCTGATCACTTGCACATTGTAGGAGGAAGAGCGTGGTCGTATATACGCTAGAGGAGAAGCTGGGGGAAGAGCTGGTGGCCCGAGGTGGAGAGGAGCCGAGGCTCTTGTGGGGTTTGATGAGTGATCACGATTTTCGGGCGGTTGGTGATCTTTAAGCCTCCCCTTGTGAGGTACATTATTTGCATTGAATGATAAAGATTCTGAATTATTGTTTATGAGTAAAAGATAACAGATTATTTATTCATAGAAAAGAAAACCGTTCGCGGGCAATTACTCATGACGATGACCGCTGACAGCAGACTGGCGAGTGTTCACCAAATCCAGATCGTATGGATTCTCCTCATACTGAGTCGCCGTAGCAGTCCGACGCAATGACCGTCCAGACTGGCGAGACGCCCGTGACGCCAACCGTCCCAAGGTGATTCGCGACGGAACCGTTGATAAGCTCTCGGTATCACTGCTACCGTCCGAGACATCTTCAGAAACCCCGCTCTTCTCCGTCTCATTCTGCGCAGTATTCTCCTCACGGCGAATCTCGGCCTGGTTCTTCTCAGCAAGACGTCGCATGAAGGCGTCCGCCTCTGCAGCATAAGTGCATCGCTGACGAATCTGAGCGCCGTATTTGTAAAAGATGAATGGGAAGGGCACACAAGCCAGCGACAAGAACGCTGGAATAGACGATGCCCAGTGTATACCCAAGTTTTGGTACATGTAGGTGGTGAACAAGGGAAAGGCCATGCCGAATAGCGATCGAAGCGCTGAGTTTGCAGCGAGCACCGAGGCGGCATAAATCGTGTACGAGTCGATCAAGTAATTGAACACACTCAAGAAGACCAGGACCATGCCAAAGCCAAACGGAGCCCCGGCAGCGATGGACGCCATCCAGTGGATACTAGGGTAGTTGGTCCAAGCGAACCAAAAGAGCCCAATGGGGAGGGCGATGCCACCAACCATAGAGGGAGGCAATCGTACCTCTGGTGGAAGGCGGTCGGTGGTCTCGCTGCACTTCTTTGCGTATCGCATGTTTTCAGGGAAGGTGTATGCCACAGCGATAACCATGCCGACGAGAATACCCAGGAAAGCAAGGCCGCCGATACCTTCGCTCCAGCCGCGAACCTGTTGAAAGACAATCGGGTATGCGGCAAACAGCATATAGAGTGTCCCATAGATGATAGACATATAGATAGAAAATAAGAAGACGATAGGCTCTCGGAATAGCAAGACCCAAGGGCGCGAGAGAGCCGTTTTCAAGGTCTTTCCCATCGGGATAGGGCCGCGCTCGATATCAAGCTTGCTGCGGTAAACCTTGCCCGTGATTTCGGACAGCTTGGCTGCCCGGCGACGCAACAAGACCGGTGCGTATGTCTCTGGCAAGAGGAAGATGATGCACAGCCAAAGGACGCCAGAGAAAGCAGCCAGGAAACCTTCCACCCAGCGCCAGCCGGCTCCAGTAGCTAGGAAACCACCGATGATAGGACCGATAGTAGGACCCAGGAAGGGCGCTGCAGCGAAGAAACTAATGGCAATACCACGCTGCGAGGCAGTGAACATATCGGCGATTGTACCACCGGCATTACCAAACGGAGACGAACCAAAACATCCCGCGAGGAATCGCAAGATGATCAAAGTCTGGATATTGGTCGCACCAGCAGCACCAGCATTGAATGCTGTCAAGAAGGTAAAGCTGATTGTGAAGATATGGCGACGGCCAAAGATCTCACTGAGAGGCGCCCAGATCAATGGTCCAATTGCGAATCCAAGTACGAAGAGCGACACGCCTAGGATCGCGATTTCTTCCTCGACCTTGAAGTCGGCAACAATTTGGCTCAGACCTCCCGAGTATGCTGATGAAACGAGGGCAACTGCCAGTGTGACGAATGAGACCAGGAAGGTAATAGCCCATTTCTTCACGGCCGTAAAGTTCATCGGGTTGCGAGGATCGCGTGGTAGCCAAGTCACGACATAGGGGTCCTCTTGAGTGCCAGACCCTAGATACGGAAACGAAGCCACTTCTTCTGTGATGACTTTCTGGTCAAACACCAGACGCCAAAAGGGGATTTTGGAGGGCCGAGGGGTCTCACCCCCAGCTTGGACGGTGGTCATTATCAAAAAGACCCTCTCGTGATGCTTTCCAGATGAGAAGAATCCACCACGTCAATGTATTTAGTCCGAGCAGCACTTTTCCATGAGTAAATTGGCAATATTGATGCCGATCAGTTGATACACGACATGGAATGAGAAAAAATCCATCGTGTCGATATGAGAATAGAAAAGAATCATCTCCAAAATCCAAGTGACCCACTTTGATACCCGGGAGCCTCGGCTCGCTCCCAGTCCGGTTAATGCTATCCAGGCACACATTGAGCCACCGCTCTCATTGGCTTGTTTCTAGCATCCATTGCCGATTACAAGGCGGAGTGGACCATTATCGTTGCCGGCACAGAGTTTTTCAGTGGGCCATTGTTGGGCATGCTTTTATCCGACCCAGAGATTCGGCCCGAACGCCACTCGTTGCCAAAAGCTTGAATGGACACGGCTTCCCGAGAGCACTGCCTTTGCCGAATTTCGTCATTGGAGTGAATATATGGTTTTTTGAAGTCAAGACCGGTTTGCTTTTCCAATTATTCAAGTTGAATGCTCGGCTGGAATAATTGGCATGGCTGTGGATGTGGAGTACATACAGCACCTATGACCAAATCCGATATCTGTTCGCAATTGGGTGGCTCATAGTAGCTCGTTACTTGACCTAAGTACAAGCAAATATAGTCTCATCATCAGGAGCGATTACAGTAGATTTCTCATCACATTCATATGTTGATTACTACGCGGAGAAATAGTTCAGAGTTTAAGCGAAGGGTATTCATTGTCATTAGATGAGAATGAATCAAGTTTAATCATAAACGAAAAGTCGAGTCAATCCGGGAGCCTTTTATAGGAGTGTTCAGTAGTATTCGTGGGTATGGAGAGGTCCTGGATATGAGTTGGTCGTCTGGTAGAAGTCTTTTTTGAATTTGTCCTGACATGTAAACCAAATTTTATCTTGTTTTTCTTTTCTGTGCGGTTTTGTTTGCTTGGTTTCCTATTGTCTTTTTTTGTGATTGGTGTGGTGCCCTTGTTCTGTATGATTTGTATTTGGTTTGCATGACGCCTGTTCAACGGAGAAACCGAGTGTCCATTCTCCAAGATTGCATCTTCAAAGTAGGGGGATTTCTAAAGATGATGATAATTATTACCTCATTTGTTCACATCCCAGACATCCTCGTCCTCCACTGTTATCTTGTTCGCTCATATTACCGACTCTATATTGAGTGGCTTATCGCTCACACCCTGCTGACAGTCATAGTGGATAGAGCGTGAGATGGATGTTTTATCATTTTCTTGGCTGACAGCTGGACGGAGATTAGGATCTAGTCTTTATCTGGGACCCTGACACTTACCTGCCATGATGGTTTTGAATCACCTTTGGGGAGACGGATTCCAATTGTCGTGCATTCTCCTCTGTGTGGGAAGTTTGACCGGTTAGTACCGGGATTCTCCAGTTTCACAGTTTCTGTCGATGTCGGTACCTATCAAGAGAGTATAGAAATATTCAATTACTTGTCACTACGAAGACTATTAGAAGAATCGGTATCAAGATGATAGAAAATAGGAGCAGATACTCAAGTTTTATAACGCTATGATACTGAAGGTCTCACTAACCTAGAGGATAAAGTCACGCTTTGCGTAGACCCGACCCAACCCAACGCGCTCCTCCGTATCACAAAAGTTCATACCACCGAATTAATTATTTCCTCCAAGGACCGCAACTGGAAGTCTGATGTGCTCAGTAATTCGGTTACTCGTATCCTTTGCCTTTTCTATAGCCATGAGTAGACGGGTGGCACAGACATGCAGTTCTCAAAGATAGTCAGCTCTATTTAACATCACTGTGAAGGCTCGGTCTTACCAGAAATGCGAATCGCAAAAGCTGCTTCAGCACTGGCGTCGGTTTTCCGTGCTTCAATCAGAATCCTGATTGTGTCTTCGGGGTCAAGAGAGATAAGCTTGGAACTCTCTTTCTCCAGCCAGTCCCGCTGGAGCCGAATCACCATTTTTCCACCGATCTTTGTACCATCCGCGATGAATGCAGTTGCCAGGGTCAATACCAGTGATAGATTGCCCATAAATTGGACGAATTTTTCCGAGTTTTCAAAGGCTACCTCTAGTCCCAGTGATTCGTCTGCAATTCAAAAATGTTATGTTAGTGTTAGCTTTTGAGTAGATAGCATGTTAAATGAAGAGGTTATGCTCTCTTACCTGCTGATCCTCCGACAGGCATCTCCGCAGGTGAGTACGGTGTGGGATGGAAAACGGCAAACGCATCTGCCAGCACTTGTTGGCTTTGCAGCGGGTCATTGAGTCCCGAGATGCCCAAGTATTCGCATTTGACACTTTCTAGGTAAGTATCCGGGGCTCCGAACTTGAAGAGTAAATTCAGCTCGGGGATGTTGAAGGCATGGGGCATTCTGGTACGGAGGACGTAGGCCGCAGCCTCCACGAAGGCATGACAGGTGCTCTCGATTCTGATCAGAGTCTCCGCGGGCAGGTTGAGGAATATCATGGTGAGAATCATGAAGTAAGTTAGCTGGGCTCGGCTGGGTGGACATGTCTACCTACCTCGAATGGTAGGTTGATGATAGTGTTCCGAGGACTTGGCCATGGGGGGCTAAGCTCTGGGTCAGTGGATCCCATTGCTTCGTCAACAGGTCTGTTGGATATCTTGATGATGGGGTTATATTGTGGATGACTCTGAGAAGCGATTAGTGCTTAGCAACCTGGGAACAGTCGCAGGCAGATACTAACACATGTGGAGAAGACTGAGGGTGGAGATTGGGGAAGGGAAGGTGCGAGGAAGTTCATTTTGAATCTAAAGATATAGGTTTATGTCTATCGATGAGGTCTTCCATATGATGCAAGCAGAACGGGCAAGCTCTCTTAGCATGCTGCCAATGCCGTAACTATTTGCAGAGTAACGAGACTCGAGGCTCGTTCTTATCGCATCGATAAGCCCGGCTCGGATAAATGCCTGACGTCATTGGGTCAATAGATTTTCCACGCCAGTGCCTTAATCGGCCTATCATTAGTTAATTCTAGCATACTCGCATGGACTGCATAATCTTCATCGAGAAGAGTTATGTTCAACCGATAGTTTGATAACTACCAAAAATCATTGGGGAACGGTCTCCACAAGTGTCTGTGCCCGCACCCTGGCTTGCCCGAGCGCGGGATCCCGAAGTGATGCCTTTACAGCTCACCGAAAAAAGGGACATCTGCGCCAAGACCTGGAGTGCTGATCTTATACTTGATGTTTGTGCTGCTCACAATGCTTCTTTTATGTCAAAATTTTGTAGAGGATAATGTCACATTTCTCAGGATTATTTCCATATAGATAACATGCCCTTCACCTTTATAAAAGCTATTGCGCAGCATGTTCTGTGTTATTATCCGGAGACCCCGCGCAACCCCCACCGGAGCCCTTGTTGCTGTCCTCCGCTAAATTACCCGGCACCCGACTTGGCGGGGTCAGTTTGCTATTTAGGTCCCTTTTTTTTTCTCCTATTCATCCTCAAGGTACTCCTCACAGACGGTCAGCTCTTGCTAGCCTCTTAGCTCAAAATGGCCAACGTATTGGACGACATTTCTCACCGCCGCTACAACCCCCTTCGAGGCTCGCACATTTTGGTGTCTCCCCACCGCACCAAGCGTCCTTGGCAGTGAGTTTTTGACCTCTCTACGTACTCAATTGAGATACAGATCTGGCTGCTAACCACTGGCAAATTTTTGCCTTGCCTAGAGGAGCGCAGGAGAGCCCTTCCAAGACCACTCTACCCCACCATGATCCAGAGTGCTACCTGTGCCCTGGTAACAAGCGAGCCCAGGGTGACGTCAACCCCAAATACGAAAGCACCTTTGTCTTCGTCAACGACTACAGTGCTGTCAAGGAAGAGCAGGCTGCATATGAGGGTTCAGGCGGCGATGGTGCGAACAAGAACAAAACATTCCTCTCGTCCGATATGACGGTGTACTGATCGCATCTAGATCTCGAGTCGCGCTTCCTCAAGGCCGAGCCCGTGACCGGCAAGTGCTACGTCCTGACCTTTTCCTCCGCGCATAACCTCACCCTCGCCGACCTGTCCCCGACCGATTTTTTTTTTTTTTTTATTGCTTTTACCGAGATCTACACTGCGCACTTGTCGCCCAAGTCTCCACTGGCTCAGAATGCGCCCCCAACCCACATCCAGCCTTCTGGGTCCCACACCAGCATTACCAAGCCCAAGGAGCAATACCGGTACATGCAGATCTTTGAGAACAAGGGCGCTGCCATGGGCTGCTCAAACCCCCACCCTCACGGCCAGGTCTGGACCACCAGCACACTGCCGGAGGAGCCTGCTGCGGAGCTGGAGCAGTTGCGCCGGTACCGTCAGGAGCACAGCGGTAGCCACATGCTGGAGGACTACGCAGCGCTCGAGAGCCGTAAGCAGGAGCGAGTTGTCTTTGAGAACGAGGGTTTCATCGTCGTCTGCCCCTGGTGGGCAACTTGGCCTTTCGAGACGATGGTTGTCAGCCGCACGCACAAGCGTGCTCTGGTTGATCTCTCCGATGCTGACAAGGTTCTCCTTGCTGAGGCCATCGCTGAGATTACTCGTCGCTACGATAACCTCTTCGAGACTCACTTCCCTTACTCTATGGGTATCCACCAGGCTCCTCTGGACGGCACCGATGAGGAGGTCGAGGCCTCGTATCTGCATCTGCACTTCTACCCGCCTCTTCTGCGGAGCGCAACCGTTCGCAAGTTCTTAGTCGGGTATGAGTTAATGGCCGAGCCTCAGCGCGATATCACTCCTGAGCAGGCGGCCGCTCGTCTTCGTGGATGCGGTGGTGAGCTCTACCGCAAGAAGCTGGAATAAATACTGGTCTTTGTGGGTGAGGGGCAGTCGAAGATTAGCGAGCGAGTAGTATTATCAGAATTCTTACCTTACATATCTAAGGTTGTTGGACATATGCCGATGTACCTAAAATTTAGCTTTTATCCATGGGCCATAGCATCAAGCCTGCGGGTTTAATCGTTGATTGGTGTTTCTTCGCATCGTCGGCCCGGCACTCCGAGAATTACTCACAGCTACCTCGTATTTGGTCTTGGAAGCATCGATCGCTATTGATCCCCAGCTTCGTGATTAGACTTGTCTGGAGTTATCGTTTCATTTGAGAGTAGTGTCAATTAATCCTGGCAGAACCGAGACCTGTATATGATTTGAAATCAAAGATATACTTCACACAAGTCTTGTAAGCCCTGGACTTTTGGCTACTATGTTGGCTATTTAAACCCGACATCTTGCTACAAACATGGTTTCTTCGTATCATGCGAAAAGTGCCCTCCAGCTTCTGAGTAATTAGATCGAAATATCCCTCTCAAATACTTTGATTCCCGCAAAAATGGCTCATGAACTTCCTCCATTGCTTAAAGAATCCAGAGAAAAAACCAAAGTTTCCTACAGACGACTCGGAAGCAGTGGACTCTGGATTTCAGTCCCCGTTCTGGGTGGAATGAGTCTAGGGTCTTCAGAATTTGGATCATGGATTCTCGAGGATGACAAGGCACTCCCTCTGTTAAAGGCCGCATTCGATCGCGGAATCAATACAGTAAGATGGCAAATCCCCGCTTATGACTCGGCTGGAGAACGTGTCGCTAACTTTGAACAGTGGGACACCTCGAACAACTATTCGAACGGCAGATCAGAGGAGATCATTGGCAAGGCGATCAAGCATTACCATCTCCCTCGGCATAAACTTGTCATCCTCACTAAATGCTGGGCACCTGTCAGCGAGCATGAAAACGTATATGTTGTCCCCTTTATGGACGAAATGAGAAAAGACAAAGAATACGTCAATCAATTCGGTAAGCCCTTCACATCCCTACTTATGCCCAGGCCTGAATTTCTTGGAAACTGAAATTGGCAGGCCTTTCTCGCCAAGCCATCTTCAACTCGGTGGATGCCTCACTACGACGCCTTGGCGTGGATTACATCGACGTCTTCCAGATCCACCGATTTGATCCGAATACCCCGATCGAAGAAACGATGGAAGCACTTCATGATCTCGTCCGAAGTGGTAAAGTTCGCTATATCGGAGCTAGTTCGATGAGGACCTATCAATTTGTTATGATGCAGTTCTGTGCTGAGAAGCATGGCTGGACCAAGTTCATCTCTATGCAGAATCAGTACAGTCTGACATATCGCGAGGAGGAACGGGAAATGAATCGCTTTTGTAATGAGACGGGCGTCGGTCTTATTCCGGTATGGTTCATGCCCAGACTCTTAGTTCGTTCATGCTAACTTCGGCTATAGTGGAGTCCGCTCGATGCTGGTCGACTCGCACGGCCTCTACGGCAAGTTGGGGCAACCGATCGTCTAGGGACGACCACTCCGAGCGAGATTCCGAGTGCGGATGCAGAGATCATCAATCGAGTGGAAGAGGTAGCTAAGCAGAAGAGCTGGACTATGAGCCAGGTAGCACTAGCTTGGGTCAGCCGTCGCGTTGTAAGCCCGATTGTGGGCTTCAGTTCGGTGGAAAGGATTGATGGAGCTCTAGATTGTGGGGATAAGACTTTGACACTTGAGGAGGCGGCTTACCTAGAGGAGCCGTATGTGTCGAGGGAGATAAGTGGTCATGATTAAGCAGATGTCTTAAATTGGGCAGTATCTTTTCGTTCGAGCTGTTAACAGCATTATCTGAGCTTCTCCATTTACGAATAGTTCGGGCTGAGACTTGCGATAAGAGTTTCCCGCCGGAGTGGAAGATTTCCGCAGGACTTGTAGATTCTACTTGCTTCTATGTGCGATCACAGAGCTTTGAGAATCGACTTGTCCCTTACAAAATATTACATGATTTGGGAGGCCGTCCAATAAAGACTTGATTTGTGCCTTCCAGGCTTTCCAAGTATTGATTATTAGCAATTTCCTGCCAGAATCCGTGAGATTGTATCGCTTTTAGTTACACCCAAAGCGATGTCGAATGATTTAATAATTAGACAATTTATCCAATTCAGAGTTTGAAACTGCTGTAACCAAACGGCCAAAGTATTTTATCCAAGTTCTGAGTAATTGGCTCTCCCATCCTCTCCGGCTCCCTCCTAGCGGCACTTGAGCTCTGCGGGGAAGTTTCCCGGCGGATTCGCTTACTTTCAAGATACCAGCACAGTCAAGTCATCCCAACCTTTTCGAGCACGAAACCCGTAGGGTGTTGCAATTACCAGTCATGCCACCCGCTCCGTCAGCTTCTCGCAGACCTTATCGATCTCACAAGACTCCGGCCTGTGATCGCTGCCGCCGGTTCAAAAGACGATGCACCGGCGGTGGACCGGGCGATCCCTGCGTGCTCTGTAAATTGCAAAACGTCCCCTGTCAGCCATCAGATATTGCAAAGACCCATACACCATCACGTCGGTCCTCAAGGACGGTATATACACTACCAAGGCGGAACCAGGTCCAGGAACAGCATGACACTCAGAATCCCACCCATAGGACCCCCATTCACCCGAATGTGAGGAACGGTCTTGGCGACTCGGAATCGAATGATCACAATGCCATTCATTTGGGTGATGCCAGGGCAGATTCATCTATTGTGGTGAGCCCAGTTCTCACTGAAGACATTCAAGCACTGGAACGGTACTTCTCTTCTGGGGCTCCTACGGGAGATCCCGCGCTCGTTGCAGATGGCGTGGAAAAATCCTTGGTGTATATGAGGGTGCCTCGAAAACGGGAAGGTCTGGCCATGGCAAAAAATCCGGGGAAATACCAGAAAGAAGTTCTCTGGCAGATACTGAGGCCTTTTGCCAAAGAGCTTGTTCGGTTGTGGGTTGCTCTCCAATACAATGGTTGCGAGTCCCAGGCCTCCATTGACCATAGCATACAGGTACTTTGAAAAGTTTCATCCTGCGTTCCCAATTCTGGACCAAAAAACGTTCCTCGAGATATACGAACGCAGTGACAAAATTTCCTCGCCTCTGTTCTGCGAGTTCTTCGCTCTGTCTCTGACACTTTGGGACCATTCAGATGTTCTTAAACAATATCCCAAGCCCGATCCCCACTTTATTTGGAATTTAGCCGTGGAGTCTTTACAACAAGACTTTCTAGCACCAGGCCTTTCTACCATTTACTCCGTTCTTTTTGACATGACGGGACGACCTATCTTCTCGATTCTGGGTAATACTATCAATAATGGACGAGCCGTGGCGCTTGCCCGAAGCCTAGGGCTTAATCGTGACCCTACAAATTGGAGGCGCCCAGAAAGTGAAAAGGTTCTTCGTATCCGACTTTGGTGGGCAATTCTGATTCATGATTACTGGTAACCCTTCCCTTGCATATGTGTTCAACAGTATGCATCTTTGACAGTTTCCTCCAGGTCAAGCTTCGCCCATGGGGTTTCTCCGAATATCACCAATCGACAGTATGATGTCCCAGTACCTACGCTGACAGATCTTACTCACGACGGACAATCAGAAGAAGGGATCAAAGCCTCCGAATGCTTTATTCACCTCTGTACGCTTTCTGTCATCTTGGGAGAAGTACTACCGTTAGTATATGACCTCGAACAGAGGGATATCTGGAGGGACATTCGTCGCCGTGAAACCGAACTAGATATTTGGGAGCAAAATGTTTCTCTGCCTATCAGTGGTCCGAATGAGAAATTCCCCTATCCTATTTCCGGTCTGAGTAGCCTCTGTTTGAGCTATCTGTCCGTACGGTTACTGCTGTGTCGTATCGCCTTTCGTGTGAGTGTCGCAATCTCATAGTCGAAGGGCCCAAAGCTGATTATCCCAGGCTGCAAATAAAACCAGCACTAAGGACATGGACCGAGCCACTAATCTACGATATCATCTTGGAAGACTTCGCCGCTCGGCTCAAGATATCGTGGAATATGTCTGCTCTTTAGACAGGGTGCATTTACAAGAGTTCTGGCTCGTTTGTGAGTGAGCTTCCTTTTCCACCAATATCCCCACAGTGGAACTGATGAGACGTCTCAAAGACACTGCACATCATCTTACATTTACATTCATCATCCTACTGCGGTGTACCATCGAAGCCTCCGACGCAGCTGTCACCGAGTCATGCAAAACCAGCCTAATTCAATTCTGGGCCAAACTTCAAGACGCAGCAGAAAATGACGGTTGGGATCTGGCCGCAATGTGTATTACACGTTGTGGTGAATCCATGTCCAAACTGATGAGCTATCTGAATGCGCAGGGCTATAAGCATGTGGCGTCCAACGACGGGGTCATGCAGGGAGCCGGCTCTGATCCCGAAGCAGTTGATCGACAGGGTACGGCCGGGGAAACCGACATATCAGGTCTTGAGGAGTTGATTCCAGATGCTTTACCATTTTCGAATCTTGACTTGCTGTTCGAGAATTCGGCAGATACGTTTTGGAGCGGGTTGGATTTCGCTCCACTGTATGAGGAGGTCGATACGGGGCAGGTGTATTTGTAGTTCTATAATCAGGGTGAAACGCAATCAAGAAACAAAATTGAGAGATTTCTGTGGTTTCCTATGTCATGCTGCAATTGTGAGGTGTATTGTACTGCGTGTTGCCAGGGTAGCAATCGGCAGTGTCTCGACCCCTTCCAAGTCCGAGTCCACCAGCCCTTCCGGCGGAGAACTTTTGTCCGCCGGAATCTGACCTCAAGTGAGTCAACCTCACGATTCTCGTACCAACCCATTTTCCTCCGTTCTTTATATTCCGGGACTGGAACCACTTATTTCGAGCAATTATCTCGCCCAAGTCCTCCACGGCAAAGTACTCTCAACTTCGACATGTCAACGTACAACATCGTGGTTGTGGGGTACGAGACAAAGCCACCTCTCCTTCCGTCCATGGTTAACAAATATCCGATAGTGCTGGAGTCACCGGCCTCACAACTGCTCTATTGCTCTCCAAAACCCCGGCCAACAAAGTTACGGTGATCGCCAAGCATATGCCCGGAGATTATGACATTGAATATGCATCTCCTTGGGCCGGTGCTAGCTACATGCCGTAAGTATCTGGCCTTCTGCCCTGCAGCGGCATTGCGGTTGACCAAATTAGCTTCGGTAAGAAGGGAAGCGACCACGCCGAGTGGGAGCGAGCCACCTGGCCAGCGCTGCGGGATTTGGCCGAGCATCAACCAGAATCGGGCATTCACTTCCAGGGTATACCTTGCTACCCAAGAATCCAACTCGTGCTCGTTCGATTCTGACGTTTCTAGATATTACGATTCACAATCGCCTCAAGGATCAGAATACCGCTACCGGTCAGTGGTCTGCAGAGTTGACCTCGGCCAACCCCTGGTTCAAGGACTTTGTTCTCAACGTACGTGATGTGCTAGCTCGGCCCGAATGACCCTAAATTGACCTCTTTAATTGATTGAAACAGTTTCAAAATCTGCCTCGCGATCAGCTACCGCCAGGTATTGACAACGCTCAAAGGTTCACATCCGTCTGCATCAACACTGCAATCTACCTTCCATGGTTGGTCAGTCAGTGCATGAAGAATGGCTGTGTATTTAAGAGAGCTGTGTTGAAGCACATATCCGAGGCCGCTGAGACACATCATTCTGGTAAAAAGGCCAATGTCGTGGTCAACTGCACTGGATTGGCCTCTCGTACTCTCGGTGGAGTGGCCGACGATCAAGTTTACCCCGTCCGTGGCCAGATCATGATCGTGCGGAATGACCCTGGATCAATGACCTCTATTTCCGGCTCCGATGACGGCGGAGATGAGGTTTCTTATATCTTCCCCCGTGCGGCAGGTTCGTGCACATTCCCAAACAAGCATCGCAGAACTAACATCAGCCAGGTGGTGGTACTGTAATTGGCGGAACTTATCAGAAGAACAACTGGGATCCGCTGCCAGATCCGAACTTTGCCAACAGAATTATGCAGCGCGCCCTCAAGCTTGATCCTCGACTCGTGAAGGAGGGGCAGGGAGTCGAGGGTTTGGATATTGTACGACATGGAGTTGGCCTGCGTCCGGCTAGAACTGATGGCCCTCGGATCGAGAAAGACCAAGTTGACGGCGTCAAAGTCGTGCATAATTATGGCCATGGAGGGTTTGGATACCAAGTCTCTTTCAGCTGCGCTGAGAAGGCTGTCGGCCTGGTCAACGAGATTATCCAGCAACAACACGACCGAGCAAAGTTGTAGATAGGTTGCCTGTGGGGATGGTCTTTTAGATGATTAAAGATAGCAGCAATCAATAATCTCGATGACGACGGTGCTATCTACGTCTGATCAGAACTACTACTCGGTAAAGCAAATTTCGTTAATCTCATACCAGCTATGTGCATTCTTGTGACGCTATTAGTACTCTTTTATGCATTGCCCTAGGGAATCCTTTGCATACTTCAATGTGGGTATTTAAATCTCATATTGATACCTACTTTTCATTGTAATCTGGATGAGGCAATATTATGGGCAATGTGACTAAATGCATGTATTGGTTTGATATCTCAGGAATAGCCTCCGGCCACCCTATCATCTATCAGATGGATACCAGCCTCCTTATCGCTCATTAACTGTCTCAAAGCCTTGAGCAGCCTCAAAGTCCCATCCTGTGACGTCTGATGATGGAAAACTAGCCTTCCATTTGGAAAGACTGCAATCAGGTTGTTCTTGCAGTACCCGACAAATGCAGCGGGAGGAATCCCCACTACTTCGAGGTCAAGAACGATCATGTTGGTTTGCACCGGAAGCGCAAATTTGTATCCCATAGTCTCTAGTTCTTTTGCTACACTTGCGGTCATTGCATGCACTACAGGGAGTCGAGAAAGAGTCTGATCCAGAGCAGCAGAGGCAGCAGCAGCCATCATACCGGGCTATGATTGTCAGAGTTTGTCTTCTCATGGGCCAGGGAAGTTCAGAAGGAGCTATGCTATATTACCTGGCGAGTACCACCACCAAACATCTTCCGAAACCATTTCGCCCTCTCGATGAATCTCTTGTTTCCAACGATAACACTGCCCATGGGGGCACCGACACCTTTTGCGAGGCAAAAGCTGATCGAGTCAAAGCAGGCACAATACTCTTTGAGATCCACTCCTTCTGCCACTACGGCATCAAAGAGTCGTGCCCCATCCAGATGCATGGCGATGGGCCTCTGATCAGCCGAAACGGGAAAGCTGCGTACAAACTCCGATATCTCCTTTGCATCTTTGAGGGGAAGAATCGTGCCGCTGAGGGTATTCTCCAAGGAAACCACGCGAGTCGGTGGGAAGTGGACTACAAACTCTACCTTAGTGGTTTCCATATTAGTAAATTCATTTCATGACTCACTATTCCCGTCTGCGATGATATTCCTTTTCACATCCTCGAGTGTGAGATGAACCCCATTCTGAGGGTGGACTTGGGTTACTGCCGCCTGAGAAAAGACAGGAAGTGCACCAGACTCCCAGCATTGGACATGCGCTCGATGATCGAGAAGGACCGTATGCGGAGGCTGAGTGAGATGAGTTCGCAGGCATATCTGATTCCCCATGGTCCCAGAGAGTGTCCATAGAGCAGCCTCTTTGCCGCTCAGCTCAACGAGCTTGTTCTGCAGGGTATTCACAGAGGCATCACCCTCCGGGTCGTAGATATCGTCTCCAACGGAAGCTTCTATGATTGCCTGGATATTGGTAAGTCGCAACTTCTGTGGCAGAGCTAATCATGTCTGATCTCACCTGCATCATTCCCTCGGTTGGAACGGTGACCACATCGGACCGGAAATCGCGGCCAGCTTTTTCGAGTGCATCCTTCAACTTGGGAGTCTGGTTATACCGGAATGAATATGCATTCTGCTCGAGTCCCAGCAGCTGAGCTAGACGGTGAGGATTCATATCGACGGTTGAAGAAGTCATATTGTGCTTGATAGCAAGTAAGATAGTATTGTTTGAAAATACAGCTTTCTCTTCACCAGCTATAAACGGTTTCAAAGGTCTTATAAGGCCAGTTCTCCAGTCAGGTTGACCCCTCACGGCTGCACGATATTCCTTGGGGGTCAGGAAGTGGTTATGCCCATACATCAGGGAGGTTTCCGCCGGAATTTGCCCCAGGCCGCCGGAAACCAATCGCACTGTCGAGTCCCCCGCCGGCAGATGATAGTTATGGGGCGAGATGACTCCCACATACTGACTCCAATGGGAAGTGTCTTGAGGTGGGATCTCAATCAAATCTAATGACATTTCACAGGCTGGGGGCCCGTCGGACGAGGGCCTGTGCAGACCACCCTTCTTGTATTAGGTACAATCCCCTGAAGTGTATGATATGTGAACTATTGTTATAATGGGTATATTTGCATGGTCGATGACCAATTTCGCCCCCTCGTTATCCAAGGCCCTTGAATACGAAGCGAAGTCAATCACTCTACATTCAGTGTCCCTTTGATTCCACCTCAACCTCAAGCACCCAGGTAGGCCGCCCGTTGAGTCAACATCCACGCCAGCGTTGACGAAGCCACGATCAACGGGTTCAAGAAGCGACCGCGCAGAGAGGCATTACCAAAGATAAGCTCTCCCACAAAGTGTGTCAAGGCAATTCCGTAGGTCCACAGGGCGAGATCGTACGCGATGGGCGAGTTGATGTTGTAGGCGGCAGTCATGCGAATGACCGCGGAGAGGAAAGTCCAAGTGCCAAAGATACGACCGGAGAGAGGCTCGACGGCAAGGGCACCATTAGTGTAGAGCTTGGAGGTGTAATCGGCAGAGGTGTAGGCCTGTAAACTGTTGGCGGCGGAGACGACGGAGATCTATGATGTCGTCAGCAGAGCTACCACACAGTGGTCAGGGGGGGCAAAGGCATACGAAAACGAGCCACTTGGGGAGTAGACCCTCGAAGGGAGGCAGATAAGACAGGACTTGCTCCATTTTGCAGGGTCAATTGGGGGGGCAGTGCGACTCAGCTTATCTCGAGAAAGGTTGAGTGGATGGGGTTTGTCTTGTGAAGAAGGAGGCCGAGGATGTTTGGGCTCTTGGCGTCGATCAACCGGCCCCAACAAGCTGCACGGTCATCTTTTTTTTTGTCCCATCCTTTCCCCCTCCATTCCTTCCACAACCATTGAATCGCACATTATGGATTTGTCAAAATACACTCAATGCCTTTCGCAATGGCCCGAGCATCTGGCTCCGGGTCTGCCGACTATCGGCGCGCTGCTTCTGCTCGGAACCGGTGGGCTGGTCGTCGCGTGTAAGGTCTGGTCCTTCTTGCGCGTGCTTCTCAGCCTGTTTGTGCTTCCTGGCAAGCCGGTAAGTGGCCTCCCCCTCGCGGAAGGATTCCGATTGAGCTACACAGACTAACAACCCTCTGTCCGGTTCTAGCTTCGCTCGTTCGGTCCTCCCGGTAGCTGGGCCGTCGTCACTGGCGCCTCGGACGGTCTCGGAAAGGAGTTTGCGCTGCAGCTGGCTCGTGCCAAGTTCAACATTGTGCTGGTGTCACGAACGGAATCGAAGCTAGTCGCGCTGGCGGAGGAGATCACGAAGCAGTTCCCTAATGTCGAGACTAAGACTTTGGCGATGGATTTCGCGCGCAATGCGGACGCGGACTACCAGGCTCTGGGTGCCCTCGTCTCCGATCTGGATGTCTCCATCCTCGTCAACAACGTCGGCCAGAGCCACTCGATCCCCGTTCCATTTGTGCAAACTTCCGCCGAGGAGATGACCAACATCATCACCATCAACTGCAACGGTACTCTGCGCGTCACCCAGCTTGTCGCTCCGGGCATGGTGCAGCGCCGTCGCGGTCTGATCTTGACGATGGGTTCTTTCGGTGGTCTCCTCCCTACCCCTCTGTTGGCCACCTACTCCGGCAGCAAGGCCTTCCTCCAGCAGTGGTCCACTGCTCTCGGCTACGAGCTTGCTCCCTACAACATCGAGGTTGAGCTCGTCCAGGCTTACCTGATTACCTCTGCCATGTCCAAGATCCGCCGCGCTTCTGCTACCATCCCCACCCCTCGCACTTTCGTGCGCGCCGTGCTGTCCAAGATTGGACGTAGCGGTGGTACTTCTTCCTACGCCTACAGCTCGTCTCCTTACTGGAGCCACGGTATCATGGCTTGGTTCCTGACTTCTGTCACTTCTCCTTTCAGCAAATTCGTCGTGTCTCAGAACGGTGCTATGCACGAGACGATTCGTAAGCGTGCTCTGCGCAAGGCGGAGCGGGATGCTCAGAAGAAGAGCACTTGAAATTGCTCGAAAGTGTGTCAATAATGATTTGCTGCAAGTGGATTACACTGGTGTCACTCCCGGTTGGAAATGTTTTGGGATAGAACGAGATGTAGGACTACAAAGAATTAGCTTACGAGCTTGATGATTGGGATGAGAAAGAGCTGAATATAATACTTTATGATTACTTCGCTGGTGAATAGAAGCAACCAACTGAGAGTAGACCCTTGATCTGGTTCAAAAGTGCAATCTACCCTAGCAAGCTAGTTCAATCCTATCTTTGACCGCCGTCTTTTCGCTAGGGACTTCTGAAGCACAGAATACCGTGGATCTTCATGATGGTCGAAACGTCGAGGACCGCTTGATCTAGACCTCCACTAAGGGTCCAAGCACATTCTGCTACATTTTCATACTGTATCCTACTGCCAAGGCAGGACAGTGGAGATATAGACATCTGAAGTTTGACTCTCTTCGCATCTCTAACCGCCAAAGATTTCACACGAGACCGAGCCCAAGCCCAAACATGAATTGACTAACCATCTTGCAACAGATACGCAAGGTTGAGGTTTCACAGCCGAGCTTCGACCACGACGTGAGATGCACGGTTCCGTCAGTAGCCGTTTCGAGATTTCTGAAATCCAAGTTGTCTGGCTCCGCGATTCCGCACGGACTCGAGTAGCAGCCCTGTCTCGTAGCTTTTCTTACCTAGCTAAATTCACAAGCCGTGTAGCCAAAATAGGATCGTTTCTCAATCTCGGCCCTAGCTGTTCATATGATTTCCCGGTACAAGCTACAAATAAACGTCAGACTAGGTGAATCCAAATAGAGACAATGCAAGAAACGTGCCCAATGCATCCACATCGGCAATCTAAAACAGGCCTTTGCAGCGGTGTGACACGCGGATGTATGAGATAAAGTGAAGTGGATCCCGTGTCGGACTGACGATTAGCCTCTCCGACGGCCGTCCCCCACCAAACAAAACGCCTGCCTGGATATTCTTATTTCTTTCGGGAAAACCCCGTCTCCAAGATCCAATTAGCATCCATCTTCTTGCTGACTGCAATTTAAATCGCTCGTTGTACCCGCGCCATGGCGATTTCATGACAACAAGCGCCGATCCAGCCGGCAGCCTGCGTGCAGAGTCCCTCCCTGTTCACCCGTTTAGCTTACTTACTCTAATGCAAGGCCCGCATTTCTCCCCCTCTTCAGTTATCGTAGACCCGAGGTCTCGATGGGGCGTCGGCGGGGCGTCGTTGGACTTTTTAAGGCATGATATATGGGGAGGTGGTGCCCGATGCTCGGCGACGAATTTTAGTGATTGTCGAGTTTGGATAGCGAGATGCCGGCTCCCGTAGGGACACTCGTTCATGAGCTGGGCCATGACTGGCTGGGCAAGGCGGATATTGCTGTGCAGACGATTTTGCTCGCAATAAGCTTTGTTGTAGTTGGGTTACGGTTGTGGTCTCGTCGATTACAAGGAACTTCTTGGCAAGGGAATGACTGGTTGATAGTTACGGCGACGGTGCGAATGTCCCCGTAACATATACTAAAGTGGTCTACCCTGGGAACGTACGCTGACATCGTCTTTTCCAGATCTTCATGGTCGGCCGTTATAGTGTGGAGCTCGTCTTGATCTTACTTTGTGGAATGGGCTTGCATGCAGCAGAGGTTGCGAGTATCGGTAGCCCCGATCTCCTCGTCCAGTTCGACCAGGTAAGTGGGCGTGCTTGTCCATTCAGAGATTGACACTCATTAGTCTAACATCCTCTAGCTCACATACGCTGGTGACCTTCTCTGGATCACGATACTTGCCTTGGTGCAGCTGTCAATTCTACATTATTACCTCCGCAGATTCCCACATCGAAATATCATGTGGCCAACTTACACCACCATGGGCCTGTGTACTGCCCTGTGGATTGCAAGCACATTTGCAACCGCATTCTTCTGCACCCCACCGAAGAAGATCTGGCTGTCCGACGTGCAAGGCCATTGTGGTAACCGCAAAATGCTGTATTTGGGCTCTTCCGTGGCCGAGGTGATTCTCCACGGAGTGATTCTTCTGCTTCCAATTCCCGTTATACGGGACATGATACTTTCTCGAGCAAGAAAGCTTGCTCTAGGCTGCATATACGCCCTTGGAATTGTGTAAGTTTTGGCGTTTCCCGTCCATTGTCAGACAGGAGCTCACCGTACCGACACAGTATCATCGTTGTTTCTGCAGTCCGAATCAAAGTCCACTTCGACCTTGACCCGGAGGATCCAACATACGGTTCAGCGCGAAACTCCCTTCTTACATGTGTCATACCTCTTTTGGGTCTTATCGCCGCGTGTTTACCAATACTACCACCTGCAATTCAGAGAGTCTGCGGAACGTCAGTATTCTCATCAACAGCGGACGGTATTTCTACTAGTCCAGTATCGCCAGGGTACTGGAAGACTACGGTCTTGTCGAAAGGACAGATGGAAGAACTCGCGATACCATTGGTCACTGTCACAATGCCTCCGATGGCAAAAAAGCTGAGTGAGCTGGCTCACGGGCAGATCAAAATTACTTCACACTGGGAGATTCATTCGGCACGTAATTCGGCGCGACTGGAACGCGATTCTATACGTCGAGTATGATTAAAAGATATAGTCCCTGAGGAAATTTGAATAAATCGGACAATTGCTGTTGAGAATCAAAGCATTACCAGTGCTGACAATAGGACGGGAAATATGCCGAATCCCGTGTTTCTGCGATGTATGATTTATGTATTCGTCTAACATATTGTATCCAGCCATTCCAAGTACTTTCCAATCTCGAAGCCCCAATGTATGAGAGAGACTCTCATCTGATAGGTCTTTTAGTTTCAGAAATATGTTGTGAAGTACATTAGCGTTGTTATGAGACGCTTAATATTAACCGGATATAGTGAAGATGTGGAACGAAAACGAGATGAAATGAGGATAATTCAGTGTCACGTCGTAGCTCCAAAGCTGGACGGAGAAGTCATCAAACCGGCCAACTGGCCTAGTGGTAAGGCATCCGTTTCCGGTGCGGGAGATCGTAGGTTCGAATCCTGCGTTGGTCGTTTTTTTTTTTTGATTTTGTCAATCATCTGATATAGTGGAGCAAAAAGGTCCACACGGATAAACGTTTTTTTGTTGAATACAAAAAAATGAGTACCATTCAACGGCAAAAAAACGACCAACGCAGGATTCGAACCTACGATCTCCCGCACCGGAAACGGATGCCTTACCACTAGGCCAGTTGGCCGGTTGATAAAGAAAGTTGTCCGGTTTTGACACTATGAAGCTATAGTCATCTCTACATACGTCGGGCTGCGCTCTATTCGATATGTTCAAGAACGACTAGAGTTATTATCCGTAGGCGTAGTTTAGTGGGTTTTCAGATCAGACTTGCGTTTCTTCAATAGAATCAAAATATGAATTGTCTTGCGTCTCTCACTGTTCCATATTTAGAATTATTGAAATACCGTAGTCGGTGTGTGTCGGAAGGTCGACTGAATATATATACAAACGATCGATCACCATAGCCACGATTCCAAAGCGCATCGATAACACGGAAAGGAGCAGCAAATACTTCCATCTAGTCCAATAGACAATTACCCATTACCACAGAATAATACTAGACAACCAGGAATCTCACGTTTGGATACGTATATCTAGTCCACACGGTCTCATCGATGGGAAGTCACATTGGACCCTTTTGAATTAGCGAGCCCCGGTCAAGTGCTGTTAAAAGAAAAAGCAAGATCTACTCTGGTATATAGAATGTTGATCTGCCGAGGCTCTATCATTTCGTTACTATGTGGGGATGTTATCTTGATGCTACCGAGACCTCAATGTAGAAACGCTTCATGGGTGAACACCAATCCATCCCACCATACTAGCAAAGACCTAAATTGCCAACTAGAATAGAGACGGAAGGGCAACAGAGGACAAAGACGAGGGATAACTAGCTCCATCCCCTTCATCGTAGTAGATCATGCCAACAGCAGGTCTTATATATTATTCGTGGAAGGACAAGCGCGCTGTATCCAAACTGTCCTATGATATTGTGCGCACCAGCGACAATTTCTAAAAAAGCCTCATATACCCACGAAAAAGGTCTCAAATGATGGAAGTGGCTTCGTGTGCGAGACCATCAGCGACTGTGTACAACAGCTTCGCGCACGATCCGGTGTCGATCCCCCTTGCATCAATGCCCTGCGACCTCGATAGACGGAGAAATCAGACTAAACAAGCATTGAAACATTCCTCCCGTAGGACCGAGTAACCAAAACACCCACTCCTCGACAGCGTGGAAGCCCACCACATTCCCCGGAAGGGTTGTCGACCACTGGATGGCTCGTCTTATCCGTGAGGGAGACGCGAATGACTTTCACCCCCTGTACTCCCAAGTTATCCTAGAATGTCACCAAGGCGATCCGTATAAAGCCAGGCCAAGCCACCATATCCCTCGATGTTTCGCATTCCGCAGTTCTCCTTCCTTTCTCTTGCTCGCCCTCTGCAGACATACCTCGTCGCTCGCCGGCGTTTACTCTCGTTTTCTTTCCCCAGAGGATATCCACTGAAACGGTCGACAAGATGGTCAAGACTACTTATGCGCTTACGGTCTTTGCTGCCGTGAGCATGGCGGCTCCCATGGCACCAAATGGCAATGATTATACGGGCGTGGAGCCGATGCGTCGCGATGGTTCCGATACTCTCATCGGCGCGGGTACAGACTCGGCTCTGAACCAGCTGGTTGGCCAACTCTATTCCGAATTGCAAAAGGAAAATGCTGATGCAGCCCTGCAAAAGACACCTAAGCAGAAGGCTGAAGTCGCCGAGGCGTTGAAGAACCAGAAGCCTAGTATTTTGCACGGATTGCCCTTGATCGGCGGTCTTTTCACTGGAGTGAGTGCCAATCGATTCAGAAAACGGAAGGGAAACGGTGACAGAGAGACGAGACTAATTTGTATACAGCCTCTGAAGCGCAGCGTTGAGAAGGAGCTGCACGCTCGCTCTCTGACTGGCGATTTGAGCCACTTGCCCCTGCTGGGTGAACTATTCGGTGGTGTATGTGGAAAAAAGGATTCCATTGGAATATAATCTCAAGCTGACAGTATCAACAGAACCAGGACAAGAACCAGAACAGCAACAAGCCTCTTGGTGACGGCGATGCCATGCCCGGCAAAGCTGCCCGTTCATACCCCGGCCAAAACTACGGTCAGAATGCCGGACAGAACGCTGGTCAGAATGCCAGAGAGAACGCCGGTCAAAATGAAGGCCAGAACGAGGGCCAAAACGATGGCGAAAATGAAGGCCAAAACGAGGGCCAGAATGACAACCAGAACTGGCTGCAGAACTACGCCCAGAACTACGCTCAGAACTTCCGCCGTGACCTGACCAGCGACCTGACGGGCGAGCTGAGCAGCCTGCCCCTCATTGGCAGCCTTCTCGGTGGTGTAAGCTTCCAACTTCACTCGGATATGTACATCTACTAATCACATCCATAATAGGGTCAAAAAAAGGACGCTACCAAGCGTGACACCGAGGCCAAGCCAGAGAGCCTCGGCCTGCTCTCTTTCGTCAAGCAGCTCACTTCCGGACGCGTAAGATGACCCTTTAGCACCATTGAAGTATCTCCAGTTAACAATGTTATCATAGCCCGAGACTATCAGCCACCGCCGCCGCGAGGTAGGCGAAGAGTCTGACGAAGGCGATTTCGACTACGATGTAAGCCTACCCTTCCAAGACAGATACCCAAGTGAAGTCTAACCCGATTGCTCCAGGCTGAGGACTCGCGCGATCATTACAATGGGCTCGAGGGCCTCGACGCCGCGGCGGATGCTGCGGACGTTGATGCCACGCCTGCTGCCGACGTTGATGCTACGAATGCTGCCGACGTTGATGCCACGAATGCTGCGGACGTTGATGCCACGAATGCTGCCGACGTGGATGCCACGAATGCTGCCGACGTTGATGCCACGGATGCGGCTGATACTTCGTTGCGGGTATGATCTCCAATCCATAGACTGAACTGCCATGCCACAAAACAAAACCGCAAGGACGATACTTACGCATTCCCGCTAGATGCGCCGTGACTTGCTCGACATGCTCAAGACCCCGCAACAGGCCGAGCAAGCTCAAAAGCCCGGTCAAGACGCCAAAAAGGCCGCCAAGAGTCCGTTGAAGGAACTCCTCGACGAGAGTGGCCTGGGCGAACTCGTTAAACACAAGGACCACGGTGTTGGTATCCTGCCGGTATGTGAACGTACTTTCTGTACTCTCAATAACGTGTAGCTGACAATTGTCTGATATGATTTAGATGAATGGCCGTCGTGCTGTGGCTGTTGAGCCTCGAGGAGGTGAGCCTATTCAGGGATCCACTCTGCCGGAGGTCCTTTTCAGTGGCGGTGTTTTGGGGAGGCTCAAAAGTATCTTCGTGCCCAGTGCGCCTGCTCCTGCTCCTGCTGCCGCTGATCAGTAGGGATGATTTGGAGTGGTGGGACCCTTGAAGCGTAGCTTCCCATTTTTGTTCGATTGGTGGGAGGCTGTCAACGTGATATGAGGAGTGCCGTTGGTGTCGATGATGTATTTATTGAAGTTCAGTTACAATATCATTTCATTCGAGTGAAAGAGGCTTATGGTCAGATTGATAATGCTGCTATCATATAAAGCCTTGGAAGTATAAAAAGCTCCCCTCATTCTGCCCATTTTGTGCAGGGCCTAAGAATAATAGAAAGGAAAGCAAGGAAAAAAAAAACACCGGGATCGTAAAGTCGTCAAGCGCGTTCAGCTAGTTCAACTTGGTGCGAATAGCCAAGTCAACCAGCGCGGTTGGGGTATCGAATCGTGAGAAGCATCAGCAAAAAAGAGAAAAGGCCGTGTCAAAACCAAAAGAAAAGAAAAGCAAACAACAAAAAGCCAAAGAGGAGAGGTTCGAAGGACGACGCCAATGCAATAGTCCAAATATGGCTCAGTCAAAGTCCATGTCCAGGTCGTCCACCTGCACCGTTGATCCCAAAGCCTGTTTACCTTCTCGGATCATTGCCTGGAGTTGCCGGTTCAATCGCTTGATACTGGCATCCTCTTCACGTTCCCTCCGGCGTATCTGCGCTGCATGTCGTTGCATTTCAGCCGAGCCCGGCCCCTCTCTCAATCGAGGTGAAGGCAGACCGTGATGTCTCGTAGGCGTAGAAGGCCGCATCGTCGAAATGGGTCTTTTGTTCAACTTCGGCATGACAGCTGGCCGACGGCGGGGGCTGGATGCCTGATGAACCCGACGAGGGCGCGCGGAGGGACTGCTGGCCCCATCACCGAGGAAAGGATCAGTCGGATCGGAGGGTATCACGACCCAGTTACAATCAATATCCTCGTCGGGATACTGGCCGGGGATTGGGGTTCGAAAGATCCGTTCTTTCTCTGCTGGACTCGGCCCGGCCTCCCAGCTGGCGTTGAACGGTGCTGGTGAGCCGGTCTGCATGTTGTAGCCTTGTCCGCCGCCAGCATAAAAGCCCCGGAATGCACCCGACCAGCAGAGATCGATGACCTTTCCGACGACGTTGATCACGGTTCGCCCCCATCCGACGGCTCTTGTGTTAGGGCTGACATCCTCAGCGCATGGTGAGGTGAGGATGGACTCGCGGCGACTACGCTTGCGACTCGTCCCGTGGAGGTCGCCATCCAAAGCATCAACGCTGTTGTCGAGCGAGGGTGGTAGAAATGACTCGCGGTATCGGTTGGGACGATAGTCGAGATCGGCAGAGTGGAGAAACTGATCGTGTCCGTTCCTTTTGCTATAGTCGGCTTGGAGAAGTGGAGAAGCGGAAGCTACTTCGGTCGAGGCCTCGAATTTGGAGGAGAGTTTTTCGATATCGCGACGAGCTCGCTTCCGACTGACAGATAGCGAGTAAAGTGACGACGAGGCCGATGCAGATGCAGGGACTTGGAAGAACTGCGAGTTGGCGCTGGCGAGGTCGAGTTTGGGTGGGGAGGCCGACTGGTGGAAGAGAGCCGGCATGTCCGGCATATTTGGAGGAGTTGAGGGGGTGAGGAGAGGAGATGAAAGAAAGGAGGTCAGAGAAGTACAGAGGAGAGATGCAGCAGGGAGTTTGAGAAAAAAGAAGAAGAATAAAATGGGAGCGAAAGTCGAAGACAGGGAGAGGAAAGGAAAAAAAGTAACGAGGTTGGGAAACTCGGTCGGGTTAGTTGGAGAAAAACAACAAAGCGTCATTGGATAAAGCTGACTCCAGAACTACTTTGTTGAACTAATGGCTAATTCAAAAGAAGCCACTGGAAAGTTTTTGAAGCTCGTTACCTTCTTTTAAATATAATCAATAATAATAAACAGCTACAAGTATACTCGATCGTGATCTGAGACACCGTCACTAGTTGCTGCTTCCCCCTAACATCAACGAACATCCACCACACGTCCCTCTAAAGATCAGATCAGATCTTATCCTCCACTCTTCTAGTCGCTTCCTTCGGGAGTCCATCACAGTCGCTGACTGGTCCACTGGACTCCAGCGGCCTCTAGTCCCTCATCGCCATCAACCAGCACGCACCATCCCTCGCCACCAGCTCCACCATCACCCGCAATCACCGCTTCAAAGTGTCCGTGGGCATAGTCTAGCACGGCGTCGTCGAAGGTCCCGGGCTGCAGCCAGACAGCGGGAATCCCGACCGAATGCGCTTCTTGCAGCACCTGGAGGGTCACCGGGGGAGGAGTGACCACGGACAAGGAGGTCTGGGTGGGCGAGGGCAGCTTACTCGGCGAGGGGACGGTGTCGTACGCACGCGAGGGGAGGTTGATCTGCGGTGCTCGCGGGTTTAATGGGGTCACCGGCAGCGAGTGTTGGTGATACCATGCGAGGACTGGAAAATGCAAGTTCTTTAATACAAGAAAATAGAAGCAGAGAGAATTCCAGAGGGAGACGCACTCTTAAAACCGAACTTGGCCGGGTCGTTGCTGGCGCCCGCCACGGCGAAGCGCGGGGAAGAGAAGAATCGCTTGACGGCGTCCATTTGGCGAGGAGATTATGGGACAACGAAGGTTGCAGGCCAATATCGGAGATTGTCGTAGAAATTGTGAGCTCGAACCAGAGATTGTGGAATCTCTCTGTCAACGTAGTGAACGAAGTCAAACGAGCCCAAGTGGTTTGACTCAGCTCGACCTCGGCATCCGCCGACAGCGTCATCCTCGCCCTTCTTTGGCTCATCGCGCATCTCCTTCCCCCGACGGCGAAATCCCAGCTTGTTAACGACGCTTTGCCAAAAACTAACCTTCCACCCCCCCCACTCTACCCTGTACCTCTTTCTCCAAGCCACTCTTCCGGCAATCACGTTCCTTTCCCGCGCATGCCGCCGTTCGTCCCCCGCAAGCGCGTCTCCTCCGCGGACCCGCCCCCAGCCAAGCGCCAGGCCCAGGCCAAACCGGCCGCGCCGGTCCCCATCATTGATGATTCTGACTCCGACTCCGACTTGTCGTCGCTGAGTGATGCTCCCGAAGGCGACATTGAGACACCACAGGGACTACACGCAGCTGATTCCGACGACGAGGAAGAGGAAGATGTCGACTGGGAGGATGCGATCGACACTAATACGACCAGCGCAACGACGCCCACCGTCGCCGGGCTCCAACCGGAGCTTCAAGATTTGGAGCTGACACTGGACAAGAATGAACCACATGTATCAGACCTCTTGGATGGCAAGAAAGGGCCAAGCAAGATTGAACGCCAGATCCGCATCCAGTCTCATTGCATGCACGTCCAGTGCTTACTCTTCCACAATGCTATTCGCAATGCCTGGGTAAATGACAAGGAAGTCCACGAGATATTACGTCATAAGCTGCCGGAGGGGATTCATAAAGAAGTCAAGAAATGGCGCATAGCGTCCGGGCTGGAGCTCCCCGAACCCAAACCGCAGCCGCCCAAGGGTAAAAAGAAAGGGAAGCAGGCGCAGAAAAATAAGGACTGGAGCGAAGATTCTCAGCGACTGGAGCCGGGTCAGCCAGATATGAGCAGGGGTGATCCTTTGATTGGCTTGCTCAAGATTCTGGTGGCATATTGGAGGAAGCAATTTCGCGTTACTGCGCCCGGTCTGCGGAAACATGGCTATCGCCCGATTGCCTCGCTGGAAGCGGTTATAAATGATTTCCGGAATGAGGAACATGACCCCGAGCGGCATGGAGAGCGTATAGCCACTAGGGAGGAGTTTCGATCTGCCGCAGAGCGTATGCAGGGCTCTCGAGATGTGGGTGCTCAGCTTTTCACGGCTCTTATCAGAGCTTTGGATATCGAGGCTAGGCTCGTGGCTAGTTTACAGCCACTAGGCTTTGGCTGGACCAAAGCGGAAACCTACACGCCATCAAAGACGGAGGCGAAGCCAGAGGGTTCTGGTTCGGGAAACGAGTCTGACGAGTCCGAAGGAGACACAACCCCTGAAGACGGAACTGCGTTGAAAAAGGGCAAAGCCCAGTATGACAAGGATATGCCCTTCCCTATTTACTGGACCGAGGTTGCGTCCCCAGTGACTCATGAGATCATCCCGGTCGATCCTCTCGTTCTCTCGAACCCTGTGGCAACAACGCCCGAGCTACAAGCAGCCTTTGAACCGCGCGGTGTCAAAGCTGACCGCGCCAAGCAAGTTATATGCTATGTGGTTGCATACTCAGCCGATGCGACTGCCAAAGACGTGACAACCCGGTACCTCAAAAGACGAACTTGGCCTGGAAAAACCAAGGGCTTACGCATGCCGGTCGAGAAGATTCCTATACCAGGTCATCGTCGGGGCCAATACCACGAATTCGACTGGTTCAGGGTAACCCTGCGTCCGTATACAAGACCCGCGGACCGGCGGACTAAAGTTGACGAGATCGAAGACGCAAAAGATCTTCAACGAAAGCAACCAGAAAAGAAAAAGACAGCCCAGACGACGGATACCTTGCAAAGTCTCCGCCAATCCACCGAATTCGTGCTAGAACGATTTCTCCGCCGCGAGGAAGCCCTCGTCCCCGGTGCGGAATCCGTCCGCATCTTCACCTCTGGAAAAGGTGACAAAGCCAAGCAAGAACCTGTATTCCGCAGGGCAGACGTTGTCAAATGCATGTCAGCGGAGAGCTGGCATAAAGAAGGACGACAAATCCTGTCAGGCGCAGTTCCCCTTAAACGAGTTCCCATTCGATCCGTGACTCTTCGGCGCAAGCGTGAAGTCGACGAGTTACAGCGCGAGACGGGCGAAAAGCCCATGCAGGGATTGTACGCTCGTAATCAAACAGAGTTTATTATCCCCCCGCCCATCGTCGATGGTCGAATCCCGAAAAATGATTACGGTAATATCGACTGCTTCGTGCCGAGTATGATTCCACGAGGAGCCGCACACGTCCCATTATCGGGCACGGTACGCATCTGCAAGAAGCTCGGCATCGACTACGCAGAGGCAGTCACTGGCTTTGAGTTCGGCTCGAAGATGGCAGTCCCCGTGATCCAGGGTGTAGTCATCGCAGCCGAGAACGAAGATTTACTCCGGGATGCGTGGCGAATTGACGCGGAAGAAAAGCGGAAACGCGAAGAACTCAAAGCTGAGAAACGCATTTTGCAAACTTGGCGCAAGTTCTTGTTCGGATTACGTATTATGGAGCGTGTGCAGGAGGAGTATGGAGGGTTCAATAATGCGGAGGATCGTGAGAGGGACTCTCATAATCCCTTTGCGGCGCGGAAAAAGCATAAAGAGCAACATAATGATTCTGAGTCCGAGCTCCAGCCTGAGTTTGTGGATGACCATCATCATTTTGACGAATCTTCCCATAACCCTCTCGACCACGGAGGTGGCTTCTTGCTACCCGGCGAAGCAGACGCAGACGCCGATGATGGCTTGATTGTCGAGCAGCATCATGATAACCAACGGACTGCAGATCCTACCACTCTTTCTGGTAGAGAGAATGATGATTCAAGCTTTGGGGATACGGACGAGGAAGATGAGGCTGACTCTGGGTCTGAGTAAGCCCCAGGCTAGCTAAGGTTGGTATATGATGCCGCTGAGATGGGAACCGTTATTCAAACTGTAAATTTAGAATTATCGTTACGAAAAGTTATGAGTGATGTGTACTTACAGGCGTTATGGAGGGAGTTCCACATCTATGGAGTGAACAGAATTTCACTCATTTTCGTATTTATCATTATCCTGAATCTTGTAGAGTTGCTAGCTGCTGTCAGGTTGTCGGTTCACCTAACCCTGACAAGGGCTCTGTCGCCACGTCTACATCTCCACTCGAAGCTCGGTTGTCATCACGGCGTATTTCTCAAGTCATTCAGGTGACGATTAGATGCTGCCTAGTTCACTAGGCAATGAACTCTCGCGGACAGCCGCATAAATGTAGAGACAAAAGTTGTCCGATCTCGCATCACACGACAGACTACGATGCTCCCAACAGACTTTGCTGCTTCGTTAGTTCTCGCTCTGACCCTCTTGCCATGACCTCTTAGTATCGGACCTGTCCTACATCTTTCATAAGCACCCTGAGTGAGATGGCAGCTCTCTAAGCAACTATGGGTGCTCACGGAGCATACGAAAATAATGGACAGGAACACACCATACAGAAACGTTAGGACTAAGATTTTGGCAGAAAGGATGCTGAAAGCAGCGTCAAGAGTAGCCTTTTCTCAGCGTCGAATTCCCCGTTACCTAACGTTGCGGTGTAGTTGTAGAGGCCGGTGGCTTTTAAAGAATCTGGGCCACATTAGCCGTCAATTTTGGTGAACATGCTGCCGAGTCAGTCTCTCGACATGCGGCGGGCTTCTCAGTGATCATTGGGATGAGCTAGTTGAACAAAGCGAGAAGCAGGGGAAAATGACCTCGATTGGGTGAGATCAGGTTTTTCATGTTGGTACGACGAGGGAGAGGTCACGAAGGAGCCGTACTACGGCATCTAAGGAACGGCAAAGTCAACCAGCTGGTACATATCAGTATTTCAGAGGTCCCAATATACATTAAATTATCAATTATCTATAGCTTCCCCGCTTTGTGGAATAATCACAATTCATCGCTGTTCTTTGATCTTTCAATCACCCCCGAAACCGCGACGTAACCAAAGGCGAATCCATGTCCCTCAAATCCGCCTCGTCATACTCCAACTCAAACCCATCATCTTCATCCACCGAGGGACTGACATGCACTGCCGGCGAAGAGATGGGACTGTGAGCAACACGAGGCCGTGATTTGAAGACGCTCGCATAATCAGCGTCTTCTTCAAAGAGTTTATCCTTCGGCGTGGAGGAACGTGTGATCTTTGGCCGCGAGGATTTGCGAGGTGTTTCGAATTGGTTCACTGGGAATGAGGGGCGAGGACCACGGCGTTTTGGTTGGAATTCGTGGGCTTGGAGGGGTGGGATGAGGGACATTGATTTGCGGGTGCGTTCGACAAGGGTGTAGCTTGAAGTTGAGGGCTCGGGGGGTTCGTGTGCTCGCTCTTGTTCTCGTTCTTTATCTGGTTCTTGATCTTGATCTTCGAAGTCGTCGGATTCAGAGTGATGACCCGGTGGCAGGTGGACAGTCGGAGGCGAAGAATAAGCAGGCTCCGCTTTTGGCTCGATTAGCATCTCTGGCGAATTGCGTATTGAAGGCATGGAACGTTGGGTATCCTCTGATGTTGATATTCTCGTTGGTTGAGGGTGGTTCATCGCCGAGGCTGGTGGGGACACTGTCTCCGAAAAGCCCACCGATGGCTGAGCTTGTTCAATGCGAGACTTGCCGTTTACGCGTGTAATGGCTTCTCTCACACTCGACATGAGAGAACGATCGGCTTCGTTCAGGGTTCTCCCACGGTCTGCTAATTCTCGAACCGTCTTGGATATGCTAGCTACAGTCAATGACTGATGGTTTCGGAAGACTAGACGCGGTTCTTGAAGAGCGGCATTCGTTGCACCTTCGCCCCCGTCACGTTCTTTGCGAAGGGAGTCACTGAATTGATGCCATCTGCGCAGTCGACCTCGCAATCGCAGCACTCGAGCCTCTAGATCCCCCACAAGGTCCGATTTGACGCCACTACTGAGACCATCCACGGTCGATTCCGTGGCCTTCTTCCACGCTTTGGAAAATGGGAGCTCCAGAAAAGCATCGGCGCTGCATTGGGCTCCACCGTTGAGAAGAGCGGTAGCCCATTCCTCGCTGCCCAGCCAATTCGTTTGAAGCTCGTGCGCCAATCCATTTGAATCTGTCTGTGGCTGATCAAGATTTTGAGCAGCAAGATTGTTCGCCCGATCTCCAAGCTCGTCTTGCTTATCATCAAGCAGCCGCGAGAACTGCTCGTTGGTCTCCTGTACTCGCGAGCGGCGAGCTCCCGTCGCATTGAGGGAGACTTGGTGGGCGAGTATCAAAGGTATCAGATTTTGATAATCTGTCGGAGAAATCGCCGACACGGTAGATAGTGTCATTGCAGGATTCCAGATCATTTCCGAAGCCGTTGCGGTAATCAACTTCCGTAGGACTGCCGTGGAAAATACCGAAAGCAGTTCGTCGAATTTCTCCCCTTTACAATCATCCAGCATAGTCTTCCGAAGGATTGTTTCTCGTCCAAGGTCGCCATTCTTCTTTAAATCACTTAGAACTCGGAATATAGCGGCGCGGAGGTTGACGGATTGGAGGGGTTCTAGTGGTGGGAAAAAGGGACGGAGTTTCTGTATTGAATTAGCAATTGGTCTAATATGCTTTGTCAATTATAAGATTGTGTAATACATTATGAGCAACCTCAGGATCCCAAATCGTAAACAGATAGTATAAAGACCATTCTACCAGGCGAGTTCGCTGGCGCTGATTTTGTGACGACGGCGACAACGCGCGAAGGTTGATACCGGGCCAGTCATCGCGCTGATCTATTTGAAGAAGCTTCAAGTTGCGGATAAAGATGGCAAGGTGAGATGGGCCCGACCAGTCCAGGGCCTTTGGCCGTGCGGGCCTCGAGGCAGCCATCTTGCTGCGAGCGAATGAGGAGGTCGTGGTTTAGATCTTAGTCAAAGGCGGCGGAATGTCAACAATTGATAACGGGGGTTTGCACTGTTTGCTGCGCCTATCAGTCCCGCCCGCATCATTTTGGGTTTATTTCTCTGGTTCTTCTTCCCCTTCTTCTTCCAGATCTCTTTGCCTGCGCTCATTACAACTCTCTTCTTTCTCCTCCATACTCCGCAGAAATGGGATCCAACACTCTCCAATGGACCCCACAGACAGGCAAGTAGCTAGGGTTCCTCCGGTGAAGTGCGCCAGGACTAATATCTTATCTCCCTCAGTGCTGTCTACTCTCCCCCACCCCCCCGAGGAGAACACGACCTCGCCTATTCCCTTCTTCCACCTCCTTGAGCGCCTGAAGACCACCAAGCGCGAGGGCTGGCGCCGCTTCGGTATCAATGGCGAATCAATCTCCGACCACATGTATCGCATGTCGATCATGACGATGTTTGCCCCGCCCGAGCTGGCTTCCAAACTCAACATCCAACACTGCACCAAGATGGCCCTAATTCACGACATGGCCGAAGCGCTTGTCGGCGATATTACCCCGGTGGACAAGGACGTGACCAAGGCAGAGAAGGCGCGTCGCGAGGCTGACACTATGGACTATATCACCGAGACCCTGTTGGGCAAGGTTCCCGGCGGCGTGTTGTCTGCCCAGGAGATCAAGCGTGTGTTCCAGGAATATGAGGACAACGTCACGCTCGAGGCTCAATTTGTGCACGATATCGACAAGATGGAGCTGCTCCTTCAGATGGTGGAGTACGAGCGTGCCCATGATGTCGACTTGTCCGAATTTGAGCGCGTCGCCAGCCGCGTGCAACTACCGGAGATCAAGGTCTGGGCTCAGCAGGTCGTTGCAGAGCGCCCCAAGCGTGGTTGAATCAACCTGACGGGGTTATAACGGCCTTCGGGATTTCTCCGATTTGAGAATTCTCAGTTTGTGGCTTGTTTATTTCTTATATTGGTCTATCAGTTCGGAGGGACCCTAGATACCATAGAGTGGAACGAGTTGGGAAGTGTTCCTTACGAAGAGAGATGTGTGATGATGTACGACTGCATGGTTCTGATTTTTCGGGGCTAAATGAGCAAATACACTTATTAGAATGCTCTATTCTGCTTGGTCATATCTTCGTATGTAGCTAGTTGCATGATTGCCACTGGGGCGGGCCGCTTGGGATCGATCCAGTTTGGAATCCCCTTACACCTAGTCGAGGGACTCCTTCTCCATCTCGCGCTCCAGCATTTCCGCCTCGGCCTTCATTTCCTCCGCAGTACGAGGCTTGCGCGCCTCGTTGTCAACGACGGGGAATCGCGGGCGGTTCTTGGCTCGCTCAGAGTCGGCAGAGGCCCCCGTCTGCGCTTCGCGCTGCGCCTTGCCTACATCCCCCTCTTCTCCATCTAGCATGTCGTAGACGGCATCGACCCGGTCAAGATCCGCAAGTTTACGGGGAATGATATGCGCATGGACGTGTGGCACGCTCTGGCCAGCATGCACGCCGTCCTGCACCGCGATGTTGAGGCTTGTGGCGCCGTAGAGCCGCTCGATCATGCGGCCGACGCGCCGGACTGTCAAGAATAGGTCACTGGTTTCGGCAGGGGTGAGGTCTGCGACGCGGGGAACGACTCGGCGAGGTGAGACAAGGACATGGCCGGGGAGGATGGGTTTCAGGTTCACAAGCGCAAAGGAAAGTGGTGTCTGGTGGAAGACCTGTGTTGATGTGTTGGTACCTCGGTCAGTTTTGCTCATGTTTTGACACGCGATTGAACACGTGGAAAGGGAGATTTACTTGAGGGGTCACCAGGAACGAGCCAAAGTAGATTGGCGCCGAGGCGCTCTTGACCGAGGACATTCTTATCGAGCGATTGAAACTGAATTGTGATTTTGCCGGTGGTTGGAAGGCGGTGATGCGGAGGTTGGAGGATCGGAGATGCGCCACGGAGATAAGGTTCTTATCAGTGCAGATCAAGTACCTGAAGCCCGTCTTCATCTGATATCTTGACCTTCTCCAGAGCTGGTTATATTCGTCTCATGTGATATTCTCCGAGTCATTCTTGAGTGGCAGTTTCCAGGAGAATGGGTATCATTGGCATTGACCATAAATGGTATCCTGAGCTATATTACAAAATAATGATGACATACATAAACACCTGTATAGCATTGGCGTTGGTGATAAGACATTAGTGAGACAAGAAGAAATGGGATATTACGAGAGCCTGAAAGTCTTCATGACTCTGCTTTCTGTTCAGTTGCAGCTTCAGGCTTAGCCTCGGCCGCCTGCTCCGGTTCTTCATTGTTATCAGCAGCAGAAGTAGTGGTCACATCGTCCGCTCGAGCTTCATCCTCAGTTTCATGAGGTTTGGCTTCACTGTGACTGTCTTGGGCGTCAGCTTCCGCTTCCTTTGGCGTTTCGTCCGCAGTCAGAGCTTCCTCTGCGGGCTGTCCGAGCTCAGATGCCGCAGACGGATCTGCAAAGGGCGATGCATCTTTAGAAGAATCTTCTGTAGCAGTCGGCGCTGCACGCTCGGTAGGGATGTCCTTTGTCTCCTCTGCCAATGGGTCCGCTGTCGGTTCAGGCTGAGCCTCCTCCTGCAGAACTTCGCGTAGCGGTGCAGAGATTTGAGTGGACTCATCATTGTCCTCAGCACTTTCTGTAATCGTGCCCACTCGTGATCCTGTGGATGGGCTGTGCTTGTGACGGCGGGTGGTAGCACCGGTGCTGATCGCGGGATCCATTCCCTCCACACCAGATCCAAAGGGACCTTCATTTTCCTTGCGTAGAATTGTCAACCGCTTGTTGTCAACAGCTTCGTCCACGTCGGGCTGGGGCTGAATGGCATCCGGGCCCTCGGCCTCTAGGGGAATAGTGTAGTTGTCCTCCGGAATCAGGGCGAACATATCACAAACGGTCTTGAAGAAGACATAAAGGCCATCATGTCCCTCCACAGTCCAGAAAACGTCACGATGTTGGAACCAAGCGTGCGCAAAGATGCGGTAAAGCCGGCGGAATATATTTGTCAAGTGTCGCATGCTAGCTTGGGGCCCAGCGGAGCCCTCGGTGCCTAACGTCAAGCGGCTGGGGAAATACTTGGGGGAGGTAAGGGTATTGGTAGCCCAGTCAAGAGTATGGCAACAGTAGTCGATAGCACAGCATGATTTGGGTGGGTCGTGCACAGCGCAAAGGTATTGCCATTCTGAAGCGCGCATCTCCGGGCAGGTCTGCGCTGAGCAGGGCGGGTTCTCGGCAAAAAAGGCGATGATGAGATTATTCACTTTCATGGTCAAGAAGCGGCATAATTCGTATAGCCAGAGTGATCGGTCAACTCCATCGGGAGGGGTTGCGAGCTGACTTGCGACTTGGCGAGTAATTGGGACCACCGTGTCTGATCCTTCAGGCTTGGTGAAATGATGGTAGAGCGCCTTGAGGTGTTCCTGGAGCTGGAAAGGTGAATCAAGCTGGTAAGGTTAGCAAGATAATTCCATCTAAAGCTTCAAAGATGCGCATGCGAACCTGCGAAAGGGGAATCAGTGGCGGACCGAACGCCATGTCGGCTGCCTTGGTACCCGGGCGGATGCGGCGCGTTGGACCATCATCGTCGTGGGCCGCACCTCCGAGAAGCTGCTCCGCATCTTTCCCAAAAGCCTCACCGATTGAAGGCGACTGAGGTCCAATCTGGACCTCCGTGAACGGGGGCGGACTGGGAAGACGCGGGGAGCTAGACGGGGAGACTCCCGCGGCAGTCATGACGAATGGCAGAAAGGTAGATAGTTGGGTGAAGAGGATGCGAGTAGAAAGGAGTGTGGTTGGCGACTGCAAAAAGAGTGAAAGGGGGCTCTGCGACAAGACGAGTCGATCAGAGAGACGATGGATTGGCAAGCATACTCTGTTGTCCCGTTGTCTTAGAGTTGTACTCGCAGATAAGCTCACGGGGCAACAAAACAAATGACCGCCCGGTGCCCTAAGCCCTAATCGCCGCCTTGGGCGACAACGTCATGCGGCGTTTCCATGCGGGTTGCATCGGCCTGAAGGAGCTAATAGCTGTTCTAAGCTACAGCGAATATTTGGGTTGCAACAATGTCCACCAATATAGATGATGATGATGCGCCTCCAGAGCTGGTGGACGTATCCGCCATGCCGTCTGATCAGCCGGGGTCTATAGAGGAAGAGCAAACACCTCGAGTTCCAATCACCTTGGTCACAGGTATGTTCAATTTGAGAGACTGCGGAATATAGAGCTAATTTTGCCTGATAGGATATCTGGGAGCGGGGAAAACAACCTTGTTGAACTACATCTTGACGGAGAAACATGGAAAGAAGATTGCTGTGATTATGAATGGTTTGTTTCAAGATGTTGGAGCCAATGAAAAACTTATGTATGCTAACCTATTCTAGAATTTGGTGACTGTAAGAATGTCTTTTCAATATGACACATGACCGCAGTCTAAGCTGACTTGCAATCTGGATAGCCTCGGACATTGAGAAGCCTCTGACGGTCAATCAAGGTGGCCAGGAAGTCACCGAGTGGATGGAAGTCGGCAACGGCTGCATTTGCTGCTCGGTCAAGTACGCATTCGAACCAGAATCTAAAGTTGATTCATTACGCAAGTTCCGAAAAAACTGACAATCAAACCAGAGACACCGGTGTGATGGCCCTAGAGTCCCTCATGGAACGCAGAGGCACATTCGACTACATCCTGCTGGAAACAACAGGACTAGCCGACCCGGGTAATATCGCCCCAGTATTCTGGATGGACGAGGGCCTAGGTAGCTCTATCTACCTCGACGGAATCGTCACACTCGTCGACGCAAAGAACATCCTACATCTACTAGATGAACCCACCACGGAGGAAAAAGCAAGCTCTCATAGCGAAGACCATGACCATGGTTCCGGGCCTGTACTATCCATGGCGCATCTGCAGGTCTCACATGCCGATGTTATTATCCTCAACAAGGTTGATCTTGTTACGCCCGAAGAGCTGGAAGTTGTCCGGGACCGAATTTCGGCTATCAATAGCGTGGCTAAGATTCATGTTACGGATCATAGTCGGACGCCGCAGATTGAGGGTGTTGTGTTGGATTTGCATGCCTATGACCATCTTGATGATTTGGATTTTAGTAAGAAGGGACATAGTCATATTGATCCGGTATGTTTATTTAGTTCGTCGTGTCATTCTCCTGGTGCTAATGTATTGACTCGTGATGGCAGGCGATTTCAACCATTGCAGTCGTGGTACCCCCTATTCCGGCGGACAAGGTACCCCAAGTCGACTCCTGGCTACAATCTGTTCTGTGGGAATCCACGCTACCTGTGCCGGCCAATTCATCATGTGATGCACACCCGACGAGTTTTGATATTCATCGCCTCAAGGGTATCTTAAGGCTTGAAGATGGGTCGAGTAGGATCATTCAAGCGGTTCGGGATGTTTTTGAGATCAGAGATGCCGAGCCTACTCAAGGTGATGAGGACCAGCCGTCTCCTGTTCAGTGCAAGATTGTATTGATCGGCCGAGGGTTGGGTCCTACTGTAGATCCCTGGAGGGTTAGTTTTGAGTCATTCATCCGTGAGAGATAGACAGCGCATCAAGTCTTCAAGAAGTATACGGAAAGTTGTATTTGCACAATAAGAGCGTCAGATCGTACGACATTTGAGGCACAACCATATGGGATAAGTCATGTGTCGGTGGCTGTCTTTATCCTCGACACCTACAGTCAGCGTTCATAAGTATTTGGAACATGGTACCTGCCACGCTTATCTCTTTGCGCGTGGGCGGAAGTACTGTGTTCCAAATACTTATGAACGGCCACTGTACATATTATCCTACTCGCTCACGTGAAAAGACCGTTTGAATTGAGATTTCAAAGACAAACCGAGGGCGGGATTTCATTGAAGCTTTTCAGGGGGTCGTTTCTAGAGTCCTTTAGTAAGATCTTCTCCAAAAAATGAAGTTGAAGCATATCCCTTATCTAGCTAGTTTTTTTCTACGATCTCTTAATTCAGGGGTTTGAATACATAGCCCTCTATAGTGAGGGCATGCGAATAAGATCATCCCTAGCTCGTCGTACGAGTAATATGATCCAATATCCATTGCATTCAATCAATAAAAAATAATACAGCCATATCAACCAAAGGAAAAATAACGAATTCTCCAAGTATATCAAGATATTCGCTAAAACGCCAAATAAAAGAATGAAAACAACCTCCGTATATAAGCCGAAGACGTCAATGTAGATAACAAGTAGAAACGAATTCAAACAGAAAAAGGCAAACTAAAACCGGAAAGGAAAAAAAGTGTATTAAATCAGAGTCATGAGAAGAATGCAAAACGCAAAAACAGAAAAAGGGACTTTTTTGACGCCAAAGTTCGCCGGCATATGCCATCGGGGCATATTTCCCTGATAAAGAGCTATGCTGAAAAGACATCCAGACAATGACGAAAGGAGGGCAGGGCAACTATACAAGCGAGAAAGGAGGAATGAGAAAGAAACGAAGTGGGTATCGAGCACTGGCCCCGTAAATAAAATGATAGGGGCTGAAAAGACTTCAGGTTCTGGTTCACGTGGTCGGAGCGTAGATTGCTGGGAATATAGATTTGCGCTGAAAAGATGGTAGGATAGAGGTTAAGAAAGGTTGGTGAGTTTTTCGCTGAAGGCGGGATTGATGGGGAGACGGGATTCGGAGAGGAAGGTGATGAGCTTTTGATGGGTTGACTTGGATTCGGCAGCGGCGGCGGTGGGTGCCCGTGGTTGCGTATGGCGTGGAATGGCTGGGAGTGACCGGCGCTGAGAGAGTCCAAGAGCAGGATTGATGGGAAGCCGGGATTCGGCGAGGGAAGAAACAGACCCAATGGGGACTCGCTCATCAGAGTCTTGTGCCTCTTTCAGTACTGATGGGAGTGACCTGCGCTTTGAGATGTGGGCAGGATTGATTGGCAGTGCTGAAAGCAGGAGAGAGGTTGTCGAGTGATCATCTTTATTCGTTTGATTTTCGAAGCTGACATGTTTTCGAGTGGGTGAGGGTATCTGTTTGGCATTAGGAATAGTTTCCGAAGTCGACTGAACGAGAAGGCTGGGCTTCGAATCATCACTCGTGTCTTGATCTTGAACGGGAACAGGCGTGGTTTGGCTGGGAAGAGGCTCCAATGGTGGTAACTCTTCCTCTGTATTGGTACCTATTCCAGTTTCCATGTTGTTGGCCCAGAAGATTGGAACTGCATTTTGCACCTTCTGATCTGGAGTGGTTTCAGACTTTGAATCGTCGAAAGAGTACTGACTGTGATCACAACCCTGGGTAGTGCTATTGGGATCATTGTGGTTCAAAGTGGACGCAGATGAGTGGCGAGGCGCAAAGTCGGCCTCTCCGGTTGATTCTGCTAGGGTAATGGTCGATCGTTTCCCATCATCATGGTTATCTGCGAGCATAGACCGTGGCTGACTTTCGACTTGATGTTTGGGCGGTTCTTGCTCGTAAGAGTCCTTCTGGCGTAATCGGGGTTGTGGCCCCCGGGGGGATAAGGGATAAAGACCGTTCCTCGTTGACAAGACAGGTGCAGGCTCGATCCCGTTGGGGAGTCCAATTCGACTGAGAGGTCGCGGTCGTCGGAAAAGAAGGTCTGGTGGGAAGAAATGGAGAAGCTCCTTTGCTCCTAATCTGTGTCGGGGTATTGGGCTGAGGCAAATGTCAACTAGGCGTCGATAGTACTCTGGCACGTCCACGTCGTATCCAAGAACGAGTGGACGAGGTTGTCGTTCGGGCTCATCCTCTCCCGTGGCCAGGGCCCACAGTGTCATGCCCAGCTGGTAGAGATCCGTCTTGACTCCAATATACATGGAAATCCGCTGATTGCTCTCGATCTTTGCGGCAATCTCAGGGGGCTCCCAGCCAACCGGACAGCCCCTGCGGTTGATATCAATGATATGTGCATCATCATCTGCATCTACTACAATGTTCGACAAGGTAAAGTCACCTTGAACGTAGCCTGACTCGTGGATCTCACAAAGACCCTGCACGATCTGTTTGGCCCATCGCTCTCGCCTGGCAAACGAGATTTGCCCCCGCTGCTCGTACAGCATGTCAACGAGTGCACCTTGCTCTGCATAGCTGATCAGCAGACCCTTGACCACCTCCTGCTGATCATCCACCACGATGCCCTCCACTCGAATCACATTCGGGGCACCGTTGAGAGCATGGAGGGCATTAATTTCATAGAGAAATTCGTCTACCGTGTCGGGGCCTGGGATTTCTTTTTTGATATATGGCTGCCCTCCCAGTCGAACCTTGTATACAAACCCAGAAAGATGAGAGTCGAAGTGTAGGAGGTGCTCAGGCACTCGTCGAGCGCCTCTCAGATGGCGAATACTGGCGATTGGAGGGTAAGGTATCGTCTCATTCACATCCTCCGTAACATGGACATGCAGACGGCCGTCAAGAGTCTCCACCTTGAGATTCGTCACCGTATCATAGAATTGAATCTCGGCAAGCGATTCCCGAATCGATTCGTATATTCGGGCACACTTGTCCCGCTGGTATCGCAATTCCTCCAAATCTCGCTCCAGAGAGTCTGGCGGGGCACCGCGGTAATCCATCGAGATTGTCACCCGTCGCCATTTTGTGGGTGTTTCGGCATAGGTAACGAAAAATTTCTCCCGGCCTGAGTTGTCCCGGAAGTGCATACTCAGATTCAGGATCCATCGCTGCTCCAGCTCCATTTCGAGATCGTTCTGCAGGGGTGCCGATGCCGGCACTGGCGCCTGCGTCTGCGTCTCCGTTTCCGTCTCTGGTTCTAGGTCGGCCTCGATCTCCGAAGGGGTGATTGTCACGTCCGGATACGAAGGATTCTCCCAGTCGGCGTGGAGACCACTTTCATCGTTCGTTTGGGCGGCGTCGTCGACCGTGGTTGCGGGTGTCGGCCCGAGCCACTGAACCTCTGGCGCGGAGAGTCGGGGGCCCACGGCTGGCGGTGGAGAACGGGTTCTGGTTCTTTGGATGCTCAACGGCTGGCGGTCGGCGGACTGCGCACGGCGGTGTTCAGGCTCGAGGGGGGCTAGGCGATCCCGACGTTCGGCAATCTGACGTTTGAAGGTAGTTGATCGGGGGAGACCTACGCCGACTTTGCGGGAGAGACGGCGGGTCAAGTTATCCTGCTTGGCGCGGGGGAAGTTGTCGGCAGAGGAGGCGCGGTGATTGTGGTGGCCGTGGGAGTGGTTGTTGTGGGGGGATAGGGGAGAAGATTGTCTCCTATCGGCCCTCTCGGGTGAAGCGTCTCGATCATCGCGGCCCAGCCAACGTCGCAGACCCAAACGATGCCACATACTCTGCTTCTGCTGAGGCCCCTTTTCGTCCAAAGGGAAACCCAGCCGCGTCGGGCTATAGGAGTTATTGGCAAGCGAGATGGCCATTCGGCACGCAGTTGCTCAGTCGTGCAAGGAACGACTCGAACACCCTGCCGGCCGGAACGCCGATGGCCATAAGAATCGAGCTGATGTTGATCAGGCTCCTAGTGGCGGGGTTAAGGAGGAGAAAAGAGCCAAGGTGAGGAGAAGAAAAAAAAAAATTCGTTTGTACCTGCACTGGCCACACACTACGGGGGAGGTGTGCGTTGTTGGCGCCGATTTTCCCTGCTCTCCTGGCCCTTCTCTAACTGAATGGTTCCCCCTTTCCTTTGGCTGGTATCTTGGAAATATCTCTTCCGCGGGATCTCTGAGAGACTGAGAGCTTCCGTGTAGGACCGGGTCAAGATTCAACTTGGCGTGTCACACAACGTCGGGTCGCAATGGGCGCGGAGGCTGGGAGGCTGGTCCGTGACAAGACCAGCATGGGAAAAAGGCGGTGCACACAGTGAAAAAAAAACAAGAAGATTAGAGGTAGATGTCGGTGAAATCGACTTGACCTTAGATAATTTTGATCTCGTTCATCCCAAGTCTCCCAAAGTCCAGTCTTCCCAAGGAGAAAAAGTACCGAGAAAAAAAAACCGTTGCTGGACGGCGTGTTGCGCTGATCCACTGCAAGGCTTCAATGTCTCACAGAGAAGAGGAAATCAATTATAGCGAATAAACGCCGCAGCAAGAGAAAAAAAGACTCTGCAGGGGATCAATCAGATCCTGCTGGCAATAACAGGAGGGAAATCAAGGGAGAAGCGAGAAAAAAAAAGCGCCAGGATATGATTCATCGCGCACAGATAAAATTGGGAAGTCTGCGTTGCGGCCTGACAGCTTATGCCTGATTGGAAGGTCTCAACGAGAGTCGCTAGATTGGCGAACGATCTATAAACTACATGCCGATTGCCTTGGGCCAGTACGATCGAGAACTTGTCCAACTTAAGATTGCCATCGGTGGAAATATGAATTGTGGCCCTGCATGGCGGTTATCCGTTTCGTTGGGCTCGAGAGTTCATCGACTTTTGTATACTCCGTGCATTCCACTCTCTCCACAGCTCGTCCAGAGGCCTAGGCCTGCCCCCTGTCCATATACATCTCGTCCGCGTTTATTTGTTGACCGAATGGAAGAGAGATAAATTGAAAAGCAAAAAAAGGAATTCAATAATTCAGGCTGTGACTCGCGTAGCACCTAGTTAGTTAGGTAACTTATAGCTAGAAGTCATCTTCAATAGCGCTTACTCACAATATCAAGGTGAACGGGATCGCTCTTTATCCTCTGATCAGGCAGGCCGTAAGTCAGAGAGTAGCATCATGTAATGCAAATGAGGTTTCAAAAATCTATTCCTTGATAGATCTAATATTTCAACGAGATCTCGGGGAAAAAACGTGTGCAAGAGGCAGAAACCTGGAGCGTGGGAACCTCCAACGGACGCAATACCTTGATTTCCACCGCGTAGGCACTATAGATTAATACCTCCCTGCCTTATATACTTCGTGTGCACTGTATCTCCATATGAATGTTGCTCTTCCTGGTTAGTTACTTCTTACAGCTCATCGCAACTCCGAGTCAGCGAAGAAAATGGACACCTATGTATCTACCAAATCCATTTATCAAACCGAGAAAAGAGAAATCCTTTGCTTGGCGATCAGGTATCTAAATATCCTATTTCATCAAGCCATGATCCAATACGTGCCTCACTTTGACTGGCAGACTTTTGAGTAGTGTCATCATCAGCCTCATCGGCTTCCATGTCACTCTCGTCCCATTTATCCTGAAGCCACTCATCTTGATAGATCTTTTCAGCGGGAGTTCCTTCTTCACCAATACCGAACCAGTGAAAGAGAGCCTGCGAGGCTTCTCTAGAGGCAGTTTGATCCAGCCCTTCAGGAATGGAAGGGTTTTCGGCTGGAATGGGTGATCTGGAGAACCCACGATCCTGAACAATTGTCCCATCTGCCAGCTCCCAATTCCAGTGGTCGTATTGATATTCATGTCGTGGGCATTCCAAGTGTGAGGTGATCCGAAGAGCACAGTCTTTTGTTAGAGATGCTCCAAAGGGTGCCCAAGGTGTACTGGGCTGGCATATGTAGCAATATTCATCGGCCTCTGTCTAAGGGAGATGCTGTAAGCGCCACACGTCTGTCCTTAAAACGTACTCTGGGCTTTCACAGGTATATGGACCGGAACCAGCGAGGTCCATGAAGCTTTGCGGATACCCAGTCCAAGGATGGCCGAGTGGATCAAGAGGAGGTCTACCTCTCCGGACTTTTTGGAGAATTCTCGGGCCCGGGCCACTTGCAACTGCTCCGATCCAAAGTGCACTTAAACCTGGTCGGCGGATTGAGCCTATCAAGGCAAGAACTTCTTGATCATGCCCTATTGTAACCGACGTTTCGCCTAAGACCTCATTCAGAACCGGATGTAACCAGGGGCTGACGAGATTGCAAGGAACCTCAAAGTTCCCAGAATGAGCCACAAAAAGCTGACATCATTACTTCCGGACTGCAACTCAGAGTTATGTAGTATGGGAGCTGGTTATTCAAACTCGCCCACGTTGACGGGATCGCATCGATACAAGTTGTTGATTTCTTCCCCCCGGCTGAGCTTGGAAATGGCAGTTGGACAGCCGAGGCATAGATTCTGTGTCGGAAAAGTCATGGCTATCGCCAGAGCAATGGGGAATTGACTCCCCAGTTCATGTAGACTTGCGAACCCCGCAAGGACTTCAAAAGCTCGATCTGAATGTAAAGGGGTGTCGAAGAAAGCCGAGGAAGGTCTTTTCTGTTTGATACCAAAGGATTTTTTGCATGTGCGAGAGATTGTCCAGGGGGTGAGGACTTTGCGATTTCCTTTTTGATCCACAACGCCTTCCCAGCCTTCGTGTTGAGCGAGTATCGCAGACCACCACCGGATCACTTCTTCATCCAATTCTCCAACATCAACAATGTATGTCTCCGAAGACTGCGGTATGTCCTCACTGTAGCATTCGGCCACGGATTTTGTGTATCGCATAGAAGCGCCCTCTCCATGTATTTCAACGAACCGTGCCGAGAGTATGTAACACCAACCAAGTGTGAGGATCCCCAAATAATTAGCGCCGGTGGATGTTTCGTCCTTTGTACCGATCCATGAATTGAAAACCCTCCCATCGAAGGTGTAAGGGATGGCAACACTGATGCCAATCTGTAACAGGGTCTGATTTGATTTTTCTCTCTTGACTCTATCACAGTTTGAACTTCCTACCTGCTTCCAAGTCGAAGTCATTAGTGAGCAAAGGGCAAGGTGTGGAGAATCTCCATAAGGGCGCACAAAGGTTTCTCTAAGCCGGCCTTGGAATTTAGGCAGACTATGAAGAGCATGGCAAGGGTTTGTGCACTCCGAGGCCAAGCCACGACGCAAAAGGACATCTGCCAGTGATGCGACGTGATACCAGTAATCCCGGCTCTGTTCTAGTGCATCAAGAACTTGCTGATCGTCAGGTTGAACGCTATCATTATTTTCGACGATCTGTTACGTAGCAAGTTAGCCAGGGCTGTCGTGGGAACACAGTTTAAGGCACAAACCGAGGAAAGACGCGGTGGGTGAATTGAAAGACTCCGCGGTGGTCTCAAAAGCTTGACTGGACACATGGTGGGGGTGGGGGAAGAGAGAGAGTAAGAGAGAGTAAGAGAGAGTAAGAGAGAGTAAGAGAGAGTAAGAGAGAGTAAGAGAGAGTAAGAGAGAGTAAGAGAGAGTAAGAGAGAGTAAGAGAGAGTAAGAGAGAGTAAGAGAGAGTAAGAGAGAGTAAGAGAGAGTAAGAGAGAAAGAGATATTGAGGAAAGAGAAGGGCGCTCGGCTACTCATTACTGGCGCCGTCTTTCCTTAGAACGCGACACATGCCAGAAAGACTGCCAGTTCACTCAATTTGGGGGCAAAGGGGGGCTTAGAAACAAGCGTGGGTGTCTTAAAGTCCAATGCTTTCATTCGACGGTCTGGTGTCGAAGCACTCCCTTTCCGAAATACGTCTATTGGATGAAGATTCTAGCTAAGGTGTACCGAATAGCCAGTGACTGATATATTGCTGCCCTCATAACTCGGTTATTGTTAGCAGCAGAGGGATTAATTTGGCATATCTACAAGCACTCAATATCATAAATCCGCTTTACACGCTGGCGTAGAAACCAGGTGAGTACGATATAAGAGCGAAGGGGTGGTGATTTGATGTCATTGATATAAAGTAGAATGCCGGCTTTAACCTCTTGAGAAATAGTCAATACCCGCTTAAAGCCACTGTTAATTGTCCACATTTTAGCCGCATGACTTGGCTTGGCCAGCAACGTTATACTAAGCGGGGAACTCTGTCTAGGAAACGCAAATACTACGACCAAAGAGGCGCGTCCAGTGCTGCCCCTTATCTGGAGCCACCAATTATTGGCTGCAGATAAATTCTCAGAGCGAGGGGATGACTGACATATTACCGTTCATACTCATCTCGGTCCGACTTGGATGCTTGATTACAGAATGAATTTTCACAATTTCTGTCCTATCCAAGCTATCTTGCCTAATTTGCCAAAAAAATTTTTTTTTTCGCGCAAAAAATGATGCATTATTACGGGGCACAAGATAAAGGACTAGACCCAGTAACTAACCCACCACTCCATGTGCGTGCACTGGAAATGTGATGGATGGGTCGACACACGAAGTGAACAAGAGCGGCGAGGGGCTAAGCACCAGTCCGGAAGGGGAAAGCCAAGTGGCATAGGCAATCCGGTACCTAGAAGGGAAAAGCAAGAAACGTCTAACCACCAACAACTCCAATCCATGCATTGCGTGTCGGCAACGACACCGAAAAGACGCCATGTACAATGTACATCCCAAGGTTCACGTAACTATACAGGGGCAAATCGCCAAGAAAAGATCGCCCGGCACAGGCATATATGTATATCACAGGCTTCCAGGCCCGGACATTACAAGATCATCAGATCATTTTCATTCGTCATCCTCACCTTCTCGCTCGCCCTTCTGGTTGGCGGGCTTGGCAAGGGCCTTCTGCCAGATGGTGCGGGCACCATCGCGATTAAGGTCGGCGAAGAGAATGTCGAAGACTTCAGAGTACCAGCTGACCGGGTGGCCTTGGATGCCCTTCTTGATGTTCTATAGGGTAGTGTCAGCGCTGATCGGCGGAGGGAAAAAAAAGAAAATCATGAAGCAAAACAAAGAGCCTTACCTCGGGCAGCTCGAGCCAGTCAGAGAGATTGTCAGCTGGGAAGATGACCTCAGTTGCGCCAGCCCGACGAGCAGCGACGGTCTTCTCCCGCAGACCGCCAATACGCAAGACCTTGCCGGTGACAGTCAGTTCACCAGTCATGGCGATGGCGGGGTCGAGAGGGTGGTTCAATGCCAAGGAAAGTAGGGAGCTGGCCATGGTGATACCAGCAGAGGGCCCTATCGAGGAGTTGTTAGTAATTGAACAGACGGAAAGTTCGTTATCAAGGGGACGTCGAAAACATACCATCCTTGGGAACCGCGCCCTCAGGGCAGTGCAGGTGAACCTTGGCTTTTTCAAAGAAGAGGTTCTCGGAGAAGTCGCGAGCCATGACGGACTTGGCGAATGAATAGGCAATGTGCGACGATTCCTTCATGACGTTTTGCAGATTACCGGTGATCTCCAGACCGGGGCGAGAGGAGTACTTCAGAGCGTTCTCCAGGATACATTCGACATACAGCGCGGCTCCGCCCATGCTAGTCCAAGCCAGACCCATGGTGACACCGGGTGGGAACTTGTCGTACAGACGGTCAGCGGTGAAGACTGGGGGTCCAACGTAATCCTTCAAGGTCTCCTTGCCAATGCTGAGGTGCACACTCTCGGGAACCTTGAGAGCAAGACGAGGAGTCTCCGTGGTTGACTTCTCGGGCTCCAGAGGGGTCTCTGCAGGATCCGCAGTCTCGTGCTCCTTGGCTTCTTCTTGCGCGGCCTTGCCCTCATCGGTCAAAGCAGCCTCTTCGGGCAGAGCCTCCTCGCCCAGGTCCTGAACGATCTTGAAGGCTGCCTTCCGGTACACCTTCTCAATCTGCTTCTTCAGGTTCCGAACACCGCTCTCGCGGCAATACGACTTAATCAACTCTTCAATGGCGTCCTGCTCGAGAATCACGTCCGCATCCTTCAACCCGGTCAACTCTCGCGCCGCCGGAGCCAGGTATCGCTGGGCAATGGCCATCTTCTCGTCCGCCACGTAGCCAGAGAGCTCAATCAGCTCCATACGGTCGAGCAGAGGTCGAGGAATGGTGTCGGTAACGTTGGCGGTGCAGACGAAGAGGACCTTGGACAAGTCCACGGGAACATCCATGTAATGGTCCAGGAACGAGGAGTTTTGCTCGGGATCAAGTAGCTCCAGCAGCGCGGAAGAAGGATCACCCTGGTGGCCTCGGCCGATCTTGTCGATCTCGTCAATCAAAATCAAAGGGTTCTCCGTCTGGCACTTCTTGAGAGCTTGAATGATGCGTCCGGGAAGAGCACCAACGTAGGTTCGTCGGTGACCCTTGATCTCCGCAACGTCGGTTAAACCACCCACGGAGAACCGGTAGTATTGCCTGTTCAGAGCACGGGCGACTGACTTGCCAATACTGGTCTTACCCACACCGGGAGGGCCAACAAGGCAGATGATTTTACCCTCGACCGTGCCGCGGAGCTTGCCAACAGCAATAAATTCAAGAATACGATCCTTGACATCTTTCAGTCCGTAGTGATCCTCGTCCAGAACGCTGACAGCGTTCTTGATGCCGAAGTTCTCCACACTCTTCTGGCCCCATGGAATCTGGGTCAACCAGTCCAGGTAGTTCCGGGTGACATTGAACTCCGAGGCGGCAGGCTCCAAGTGAGCCAGCTTGTTGATTTCTTCTTCAAAAACTTTCTTGACAGCCTCAGGCATAGCTAGCTTCTCGGCCTTCTCCTTGAACTTCTCCACAAGCTTATCCTTGCCATCGGACTCAATACCGAGCTCTCGCTTGATACCCTTCATCTGCTCCATAAGCCAGTACTCACGCTGGCGTTTTTGGATCTTAGCCTCCACATCCTTGGTGATCTTGGACTGGAGCTGTGCATTCATCAACTCTTTCTTCAAAACAACAAGGGCCTTAGGAAGACGCTCTTCAATGTTCATAGTCTCGAGCACCTCCTGCATCTCATGCAGCTCACCGGCAGAGACTGCGGCAGCAAAATCGGCAAGCTTAGAGGGTTCATCGCTGAGATTTCCGGGGAACTGATCCGTGTAGAAGGCGGAGATCTGATCACGGAATAAGGGGTTCAGAGTGGCGATCTCCTTGCACACGTTTACAATCTCACTTGTCACAGCACGGATGATGCCGTTCTTCTTATCATATGGTTCCTCCGCCAGATTCTCCACGTTGACCAAGCTGACAGGATATTTTCGAAGGAACGATGTAGGCTCATAGTGGTCCTTTGGAGCGTTTTCGGGCGTTCCTTCTTCAAAGCTGGCAACCACGTCGCCGTGCTTCTCAGTAGTCTTCTCTTCCGTCGCAGCGGCATCCTTCTTCGGTTCGGCGGGTGGAAGTAGGGAGGAGATCTTGATACGTCGGTGAGGGTATAGGACAGCGGTCACACCGCTAGCCTCGCCGCGAAGAGGGTAGGCTGCAGTGATCTGAGCAAAGACACCGGTATCGTAGACATCTTCCAAATTTTCAATCACATCGCCATCGGCATTGTCATCCTTGAAAAGGAATGCGCCAACATAGGGCTGACCCCGCTTCATCATATCCTGGATTGCTGCTGCAACATTCGGGTCCCGAATAGTGATAGCTTTGTAGAATCCGGGGAAGAGGGGCCGCTTCGCAATTGGAATGGCCATGACCTGAGGGTATACATCTGGAACTGCTGGCTTTTGTAGCGCCTTATCTCCGGTTCCCTTCTTCCCCTTCTTGCTACCATCATCGTTGCTGCCGCTACCACCGCTACTGGCCGAGCTTGGCTTGGAGTCAGCTGAACCACCGTTTGGCGGGATGGGGGATGGCGTCTGGTTCGAGTCACCCTTCCCATCTGCTGCATTGGCGTCTTTCCTTGATTCCTCCTCTAAGCTCCGTTGCTCTTTATCTCCGGAGGACCGATCCTTTCTCCGCGTGGAGCCTGTCTGGTCCACGGTCTTCCCCGAGTCGAAGGCTTTCCTTCGAGACTCAGGAGCTCGGTCTATCTCCTTGCCATTTCGCGGTGATTCTTCCTCCTCCTTCTGTTCCTGGTCATCTTTCTGATCCTCTGGCGGGGGCTTCTCTTTCCGCTGAATGGAGCTCGATGTGAACGTGCGGGGGGCTGATGGAAGAGAACGAGCGAGCCGGGTCGATGTTAATGCTGATCGAAAGGTCGCATTGTTCCTTGGTGCAATCAGGAATGGCCGGCGAAGTAGAGGGCGAGGTGTCTGGTGGAGCGCAGCTCTCCAGGGGAGGGTCTGCCCGCGGAGCATGCTATAGAATGAAGTCGCGTGATTCGGGGGAGCTCGAGTTAGGATCGAATAGGGCAGGGATTCGGGTATGAAAAAGAACCCAACAAGCCCCGTATGTCAGCTCCGGGAAAGATGAAGTAATGAGAATAATTGAAGAGAGATGGGAAGTGTAAGGAAACCCAGGTTCCGGCCTCGGAACACCGCTCTGTAAGCAGCTCCATCTTTCATCATCCCAGCACGGGCCGACGGTTTCTCCGAGGAACGAGCCGCCTGGAAGCTTCTTCAGCGAACATGAGAAGCCGACTGGTTTACAGGCTAGCGGGTTTGCGATTTTTAGGACTTTACCCGTGTATCTGCTCGTCTTTCGCTCCTTTTCGTTCTCATTTTCCTACTCCCATCGCTTGATCTTTAGCCAAGCACCGCTCGGCGATTACGACCCCATGAACCCATCCGCAGCATTCCCCAAGGCGGCGGCGGGCCTCCCCGTGCGCCTGCTGCGGGCACCGTCGACGTGCTCGAAACAGACGCCCGGACAACATGTCTGCTCTGCGAACCAGAACCGAGGATATCATGCAACAACCTCCG